CACGTTGGACACAGGGGCTTGGAGCAACCTGCTCTAGTGGAAGGTGTCCCTGCCCGTGGCAGGGGGTTGGAGCTGGATGAGCTTTAAGGTCCCTTCCAGCTGAAACCATTCCATGGTTCTGTGATTGTATGATGACATACGTGTACCCACAGGAAGGGCACATACAAACTAACACTTCTGTGAAAACAAGCACAAGGATTTTTCCTTCTATATCCTAAAACTCATGGTCATTACTGAGCTGATGGCTTTTTAGCTTCAAAAGGAACACTACTGCTTTCTGATGAAAAAAATGCTGATTGGAGAAAACGGAACTCAACAGTCACGGTCACCTCCTCTGACAGAAATGCAACTTAATGGAACAAAAGTCATTCGCTAACAGATTTTATGTGGAATTGAAAATGTCAGGTAGAAAGCAGGTATCACATTTTGGCAATCTTGGTAAGTGTAATCTGTTGGGGCTTTTTTTAAGCACATGTTCCCTAAGTGTATCAATAGAATTTCAAGCCACATGAATCATCAGATCACAGATTTGTTTCTTTGAATGGACAAACCTGCTGTTTTATGAATGCTAATTCAGATCATGCAATGCCATTTTAGTAATGCCCCGGCACACTGCCCCCGCTCCCAAGATCACCATTAGCAAATGCCAAGCTCCAGCCAAAGTGCATCTGATTAGCAAGGCCATTCTTTCCACATTAGTACTACACATCAAAAAAGGGAGGAGGTGTCAACTTTTCAAGGCATAGGACACATCAATCAACTCCAAACAAGATGATGTGCATCATATTTTCCACATTCTATAAGCAATTCCACACCAGAGGAAGAGTACTACCAATGGCTGGGGTGGGAGAACTACAGCCTGACCCACTAGGTTAGATGTTCCCTCTCACTGAGTGCATAGCAGCAAACTTCAGGACAATGAGGTGCTTACAAAAACTAAGTAAAATAAAAATGGTGTTTCAAGGAGATCTGAATGGGACAGAAGGAATAAAGATGGGTTACAGCCTGGTGCGGCTTTTTAACTCTAATGGGAATTTATCTGCATCATCATTTTTTATTCAGCTAAGGGATCTGCTTTACCCAACTCATATCCTTTGGGGGAAATGTCTAGAAACACAAGAATACTCTAAGAATATATATATGTGTATGTGGATGAATAAAATTAATCTAAGAACATCGTAAGATTCTTATATTTTGAGTAGACCACAAAACGTAATCATGACAGCAATGAATTTATCAGATCTAAATGTTTGTTACTCAGGAGTTCAATATGCATGTGTAAGATTAGGAGGAGAAAAAAAGATATTTAACAATGTCTCTCTCAATTTGGCACCTAGAAATTTTACTTTAGCATCAGACCTCCAGCATCAGTGTAAAACTTTACACATCTGAAAGGGGGCTACAAGGATGCTGGAGAGGGACTCTTCATCAGGGACTGTAGTGATAGGACAAGGGGTGAAACAGGAAGGTCAGGTTAGATATAAGGCAGAAGTTCTTCCCTGTGAGGGTGCTGAGGCGCTGGCACAGGGTGCCCAGAGAAGCTGTGGCTGGCCCATCCCCGGCAGGGTTTCAGGCCACGCTGGGCACACCCTGGAGCCATCTGCTGAAGGTGTCCCTGCCTGTGGCAGGGGGTTGGAACTGGATGAGCTTTGAGGTCCTTTCCAACCCAAACCAGTCTATGATCCTTCTCACTTGTTTTTGGTTTCACCTAACTAGCCTTCCTTCCCACTCTCCTCTTCTTTTTCCTGATCTACCTCTCCATTCAATTCCATTTCTCTAGTCTCCCTTAGACTTCCTTCAGTTCTCACTGTCTTTTTGAGGTCACTATTTTACATCCCCAAGATACTCACAATCTCAGTAATTTGTTGGGCCTATCTGTGAAGTACAATTCCTCTTTGTTAAAGTCAAAACTAGCAATTCATTCACTCAGGTGTTACAGCAACCCAAACCAGGAAAAACCCACACTCATCATTACAAACCTGAACCTTCTTTTTGTGCTACATTAGCAATAGCCGTTCCTAGAAATCAAAACAGACAGACATGTACAAGACAAGAACAGGACATTGTTATCCATTCCAGCTTCTAAATCGCTACAAATTCTTATTCAATACAGATAGCTCCTACCTCTTCTCCAGCAGAAAAGCACTTCAGCTTTATTAAAACACAAAGCTCCTGATGACGTACGTTGATCCATGTCTGTAATTAGACTAAAGCTACTATAGAAATATGTTTTCATCATAACCATTCAAGTTGGTTGCGACATTCTTGGCCTTTTAGTTCCTTCCAGGTGATTAAAAGCAGGATTCAGTCCAGCAGGACTCACTGGCACAGACTTACAGACTCTAATTTGTCATACATTTCCATGACACACAGATGTACTTGTGTTTGACAGTATCATGGAATGATTTGGCATGATACTTGTGGGATGTATTACTTAATGCCATAACCACTGTTGTAAAGCAAGCACAACATGCATTTAGTTTCAGTTACAGCCCCTGAATCTGTTTCTGTTCGACTGCCTTTCCCTTGAGGAAAAGAGCTTTCTCAACCTCTTCCACTGCTTACTGGGACAAATGAGTGTAGGCTCTGTAAGCCAGAGCAGTCTGCACAAGACCACTATTCCATTTTCCCTTAAGGTAATAGTAAGACATTAAGATGCCACATGAGATATCAGAGATGGGCACAACTTTTAATACTAACAAACATACGCATTCTATTTTTCAATAGGGCCTGTAGTGACAGGATGAGGGGTGATTGGCTTAAACTAAAGAGGGGAGATTCAGACTAGATATAAGGAAGAAATGTTTTACACTGAGGGTGTTGAAACGCTGGCACAGGTTGCCCAGAGAAGTGGTTGATGCCCCATCCCTGGAAACATTCAAAGTCAGGTTGGATGGGGCTTTGAGCAACCTGGTCAAGTTACTGGTGACAGGGTTGGCAGGAATGTCCTTTGAGGAGCAGCTGAGCACTCTGGCTTTGTCTGGTTTGGAGATAAGGAAGCTGAGGGGTGACTTCATTGCCCTCTGCAGCTTCCTGAGCAGGGGACGTGGAAAGGGAGGTGCTGGTTTCTTCTGCCTGTTATCCAGTGATAGAATGTGCGGGAACAGTTTAAAGCTGTGCCAGGGGAGCTTTAGACTGGACAGTAGGAAGCATTTCTTTACTGAGAGGGCATTCAAACCTGGAACAACCTTTCTAGAGAGGTGGTCGATGTCCCAGCCTGTCAGTGTTTAAGAGGCATTTGGACATGTCTTTAATAACATGCTTTCACTTCAGGGATGACCAAAAGTTGTCAAGATGGTTGTTGTAGGTCCCTTCCAACTGAAAATATTCTACTCTATTCTAGTTGAAGATGGCCTGTCAGTGTTTAAGAGGCATTTGGACATGTCTTTAATAACATGCTTTCACTTCAGGGATGACCAAAAGTTGTCAAGATGGTTGTTGTAGGTCCCTTCCAACTGAAAATATTCTACTCTATTCTAGTTGAAGATGTCCCTGCTCATCGCAGGTGGGTTGGACTAGACTACCTTTAAAGGTTCCTTCCAACCCAAACCATTCTGTGATTCTATGTACAATGTAAGTATTTTGATTGCACTACATTTGAAAGGTCAAGTGCAAAGCCAAAAGGAAGAACACAGAAGGATGGTTACCCATGAGAGCAGGGCAACAGTAGGGTCAAGAGTCAGAAGAGTAGGTGAAAAGTACAAAGTTAAGAGAAGATGAGGTCGGGGAGAAGCAAAAGGCAGACAAGAGTTGCAGAAGAATGATACAGTAGGACTGAAAGTCAGGCAGAAGTCTACACAGAAGTGGACAGATTAACTGCAACATACAGACTGGTGTGTCCAGCCAAACACACCCCTCCGACAGAATTCAGTTCCGTGCCCTGAAACCTAGAGTCTTTTCTTTCTTCTACTACCCACAATGGAGAAAGTCACTAGCAAACTGTTTCTGGCTGTCTTTATTTCTGCCCTAAGTATACAGTATGTAGAACTACCTGGTATGTAGTTTGCTCAGGCAGTAAAAATCTATGTAACATAACTGAAGGTCGCATTTTGGTGGCATAGCCGAGGGTAGCGTAAGGTTGGCATTAGCAGCAATGGAAAGGCGGTGATCCCAAATGATAAAACATCTGGTGGAAGGTGATACAAAGAAATTCACTTATAGATGTTCTAGAATGACATTAAGGCTGCAAATTCAAGAAGTCAAAACTATATAATGTTATTCAAATGGTTCAGAGATTCATCGTTAAGAACCAGCATAACCTAGTGTTGAGTTCCTGCACAGTGCAAGCCACATAACATCCCTACATCTTCTGTGAATCGAAAAACCATCTTACTTGTAAGCCTGCTATGTTACACTGAGATTCTTCTGAGTTTTTATTAAATCACTGCTCTCACTGTTCAAATGTATGCTCCTTCATTTGCAGTGTGAATTATCACAGCACCAACTGTGCTATACAGTATACTGGCATTGCCCCCTATCCCACTCCACTTTCCTTCACAAGCTTCCTGTAGTTAGCTCACATCATATCACATACTCTGTGGGGCTGAGGGAGTCATGAAATGAGGGAAGGAATTACACAGATTGCTTATTTACACCCACTTATATGAGTCTGATTTGGTATTTCAGTGTCTGGCTATGGCTTGCAGTGAGTCACCCTTTGTTTAAGAGTAGCTTAAAGGTGGTTTAAGAGTGAGCTTAAAGACTTAAGTTTAAAGTTTAAATACTTGCCTCCCCCTATCCTCTCAAACAACAGCTTTTTCAACCTATATACTTTCTCCTTTAAAAACCTAAGCACATTTTCAGCTTGATCATTAAAGTCTTTCCACAGTCACTCTTACTCTTACTGATGTTTTGACATGACAAGGCTGGGGAGCAAGGGAAAAGCTTATGTGTGAAACTAAGTACACATCATCACCACAATTTTTTCATAAGTCAGATAATCTCTCGAGAGGATTTTATTTCTTCTGTCATTATTAAGCTAACTCCTTAGGCTTGGAAGCAGTCAAAAGCCTCGAATCTCCAACTCTTTGTAGTGTCAAATAACCAGCATTTCAGTCACTAACTAGGTGCTAATTATCTGTTGTAACTAACTACCTGTTAGTACATACCTCACATTTTCTCACTTTGCATTTCTAACTAAGCATAGGACTACAGCAGCACTCTTCACTTACAGTACTATCATCTTAGAAGCAAATAACCAGTTGCTTTACTTCCTTTTTCCCTGCCAACTGAGCTGCTCACTAGGTCATCAAACCAAAGACTGATATGTTACAGAAACACACTGCAGCGTGCCCTGACTGGAGATACAAAACACCCACTTCTCACCAAGGATTGCTTGCTCCTGGGTTAGTTCCTGGAAGCGTTCACGCATATTTTCCAGCTCCACAATAAGGCGGCGTTCAGATTCCTCTTTCAGATTCAAGGCCTCTTCCAAGGCAGCTTTTTCTGCAACATAGCCTTCAATAATGCCTAAAATCCCAAGTTGGAATGCAAATAAAGCAACAGACAAACTCATCTACTGGAACAAAGCAGCTTGAAAACATGAGTAAAAATTTTTGCCAACAATGGAAGGTGACGTAGAAAGGAAAAAGTACAAGATGACTTAACTGTAGCTAGGTTTTTTGAATTATCTCAAGAAATAAAATGTATCAGTTAAGGTATTCTAACAGATTTTATGAGGCTACCATCCCACAAAATGTCTCCAAACATGTAGAACGTACATGGGGATTGTTAGGCCTTGATGGCCTGGGGCCACCTCGCAACACAGGACAGCCTGACACATCTTCTGCTGGGGGCTGAGGTTTGTAGAAACAGAATCTCCAGAAAGTAAGATAAAATGTTAGATTCAGAGCCCAAGAAATACAGGAATTATTCACAGAAAGGAAGGAAACAGGATTTTGGAAAGATGAAGTAAGCCTAAAGCCTGAGAAGAGGACTGGAAAGCAGATGCCACAATTAAGAAGAGAAGCTCAACTTGAAGGACACAGAAACCCACAAAGATTCTCCTACATAAAAGCGAAGGCCTCAAGTCATCATCTTTATTAGGACTCTTCATTAGGGACTCTAGTGGTAGGACAAGGGGTAATGGCTTTAAACTTAAAACAGGGGAACTTTACGTTAGATATAAGGAAGAAGTTCTTCACAGTTAGGGAGGTGAGACGCTGAAATAGGTTGCCGAAGGAAGTTGTGAATGCTCCAACCCTGGAGGCATTTAAGGCCAGGCTGGACAGAGCCTTGGGCGACATAGTTTAGTGTGTGGTGTCCCTGCTCATGGCAGGGGGGTTGGAACTAGATGATCTTAAGGTCCTTTCCAACCCTAACTATGATTCTATGCTTCTATCTTCACAAAGGGGGATTAGATTGATGATGTACAGTCTGTGGTAACATAGAGATCAACAGCCTCAGCCTTTTTACATCTCTTACAGAATCTCTTCATGGCTGTGCTACTATCAAACATTGCTCTAGTTTATGCTGAACCCTTCCAAGGACAGACAAGTGGGCTGATTTACACTGGGAATGTACCTTGTCCATAATCCAAGCTCCCATATCCCGACATGCAGGATTGCAAAGTGCTGTTTTAAAAACGATGGTATGTTTCACATGCAGCCAATGGTGTGAGAATAGGACCAAGCACTATCACAGCTGCCCCAGGGAAATGCATAAGGGAATTAAGTAGTAGATTTGCAAAAGAAGACCCAAGCATCGAGTAATTTAGCAATCTGAAATGCAGGAAATGGATTAAAAGGTTGGACTTGATGATCGTAAAGGCCTTTTCCAACCTAGCTGATTGTATGATTGGGAACAGGCAAATCAACAGCGAAAGTCGCAAAAAGCATATCATAAATATTTGGAAGCATGAGCTACGAGTAAATGACACTGAAACCTCTTTCTATTGGTTTCATTTTCTTACCCTCTGCTTTATGAAGCTCTAACGCCAGCTGATTCTTGGCCTTACTCTCCTCGCTGAGGCACTCCAGGAGTTCCTTGTGCTGACTTACCACTTGGGCAGTTTCCTGGTTCTGGCGGCTGAGTTCTTCTTCAAACTGTGCTTGGTTTTCATGCATTTTCTCCAGCTACAATTAAACCATTGCCCCTCACATCAGACCTTGGATGTACATACAGTGTAATACTACTAACAGGCATTTAAACATAAACCTTCTGATTTTTATAATAACATTTACACATTAAGGTCCAGCTTTTCAAGTTTCATTTCAATACTAGGTTGACTTTGCCCAAAACCCCTGGACACTTTGGTGACTCCCTGTACTCATATACCTGTATTTTTAAGCACAAATCTTCCTTAGGCACATAAGTTTCTTTACTGTGCATAAAAAGAGATACCTTTTGGTTGGCTGAACTGCTCAGTTCAACAATTCCTGAGCCACATGGCATCCAAAGCAACCTCACGAATTCATCAAGAGATTAAGGCATGTCTAATAGAAAGTGAAGTCAATACAACATCAGGTTTCCAACATATGGATGGCGCTAGTTCTAAGACAATGCATCTTGCATTCGTGTATGCAATGTCTCAAGTTCAACTAAAGCAGCCCTGTTCCCATTTAATTTGTATTTAGCTTATCCTGGTGGAGAAAAGTTGGAGATAACCAGGATTTCACAGATGTAAGCACAGTATGTTTGAATGCAGCCGATTAGGTGACCTAAAATCTACATCTGCCATGGCTTGGGCAAGAGCTTTAACTACAGGTTAGTTCCATACTAGTGGAACCAGCACCAGTATCAAAAGCAGAAGCTGAATCACCTCATTCTAGGAGGAATTTTTTAAGATGGTGAATATACATTTCACATAGATGCTTATCTCTAGTTTGCACAAACACCTGACAAGAAAATCAATTTCAGATATATTCCTTCCCTTCACATTTTCTCTTAAATTAGGGGCTTCCTTACTCAACACACTAATTACTGTTGCACTACATTCAGTCCTTTAAATGTATACAGTACTCGGGCATCTACCTCAGATTTACAATTTCTCTTCCCAAAGCTGAATGTCTTAGACACTGCAAAACTTGATAGGGAAATATTAACATTCTTTTATGAGAGTGAGTTCAGTTCCTTTTAGCACAATTAAACAGTATATAATTACAAGGATGTTTGCTTGCTGCTACCTACATATTTCCTAAACATTTTCACATGGGACTGAGTTTTCTTGAACCTGCTTATCAATGTTGAAGAAGTATTAATGTGAAGTGCAATAAAACTCCCTCAAAACCACTTCACTCTTAGTCTCCCGAAGTTACCAAATGCTTCTAAAATCCTAGTTTAAATCTACTTAAGGCAACCAAATTACAGCCTTCCTAAGGATCTGCTAGAAGAAAAAAAGAAGTTGAAGTCTCATTTATAAGAAATAAGAGCAAAACCTTCATTGTAAGAAGCAGGGGATATACATGCTTCCCTGTATCGCTAACTTGTCATATATTCAGACAAAACCCGCTTCTTTTTAGTAGCCAATCCTACAGATACAGTATTCACATTTTTGGTGTAATTATACATCTATATAGATTTAAAAGTTTTACTTGTTTAGTTGATTCTGTAACCAGTTCCAGAAGCCTCTCCACTGCAGTGTGCAAGCGGCGACAAGTTTTCAGTATCATCTCTTCATTTTCACATGCCAATTCTGGCTTTGCAAAAACACTTTCACATAAGTATTGGCTCAATTCAGACCCCTCATCAGCCACTGGAGATAGCTGGTTGTCTTCTGTGAGACTTTCATCAAGCAGCTCATCGACTGGAGACAAGCAAGCTATTTTAAACCACAAAATAATTAGATAGAACTGGCTACTCAGATAACGACTGACAGACAGTGACACTAGTTAGTCCTGAAGCTGGATTACAAGGTGAAAACTTGTACATATCAGTAACTCAGTGTTGAAAAATCAAGAGATCTTTCACAACATTTGGAATTATTGTGCTATACATCAGGGCCTGAAACTCTGCGTTCACCAAGTTCCTCTTTTCTGCTCTATCATCTATTCAGCCTTTTCCAGCAACATAAACTAAAATAGTGCAACTACTAAGTTGCACTATTAAAAGAATTAAAATGAAAGAACACTGACAGACACAAAATGGGGAGCAACTTTGAAAGAGACACAGAAAACTGCAACAAGAGATATCCCTTTTCTAAACCTCAGCCATATAAAAGGAAATGAAAGGGCATTTTTGAGGAACTGAATTGATTACGTTCAGTTATGCAGATTTGTACTCACCTTTCTCCAGGTGATGCTTTTCTTTGGCTTTGAAATACTGCATGAATCCCATTTCTTCCATAATACTATGACCTTCTCTAGAATCTCCAACAGACATGCTGTCATCAAGGCAAAGACCAATCTTGCTACTGATAAGGTCCTCAACAGCTATTGTGGCCTTCACCAACTCCATAAGCAATTTCAAAACATGCTGATATGATTCCTGCAGTTTTTTCCTAGAACAAAAGCATATTGAACACTTCCAAAACTGTATGCACATGATTTAAGACACTTTGAACCTACTGAAAAACTGACAGTCTAAAATGGCCATAGTTGCGATTTATCAGTGAAGATGATTCAGATGACTCAAAAAACCAAGGCCATTTCCAGAGGAAAAAACCCTTTGTCTTCTCCACAAGTAGATGGAGAGATCATACTGCAGTCACAAGCATCTCAGGCTTCCATTATCTGTGGAAGCAGCAGTAGAGAGAACACGTCTACTACTATAATATCTGTGACATCCCAATAACTAGAGGTGTTCTGGCAGAGTAGACAACAAAAATCATATTTAGGAAAACATTTTAGTGTTAAGAAAAATAAGTAAGCCAGTTTGTTAAAGACGAGAGAGGAAATTCTTCCAGAAGCTTATTCAGCATGATAGCTTCTCTAACCCACACATTCCAATGCCATATCAAACCAATCCACACTGCACTGAAGGGTTTCTGCAACCAAGAGGACTTTTCCATTTCCTAGCTTTTTGCAAGATAACAGACAGTGAAAATCCCAAAACACTGAAGTCTCCATCAGACCACAAGGGAAAAACAAAGGAACAAAATTATGTATCTCACCTTCTATATCTAGATAGTTTGGTAACTTAAAACAACACAACCAAACAAAAATAAAACCCCAAAAGCACACAAACTAAAAAGCTTGCAACTGAAACCAATATGTCTGCATCCTGCACTATCCATTTGAGCTGGCTTAATTTTGCCTAGTTATTGATTTCTTTACGACAAGTGAGAAAACAAACAAACAGAACAACCAGTCACTAAGCATTAGGTAATCCAAGATGAACAAACCTTTCCTCCTTGGATTGCTCAATATCAGATCTCAACATGGCTACCAAATTCCCTCCTTCTAAGTTTTCTCTATCCCGCCGCTCAAGGAGTGTCTCCAGTTCAGAGTTGGTCTCCTCCATGGAATGGTTTAAAAGCTCCACTTTCTTTTCCAGCTGTGGAAAATACAGCAACAATGCAACAAAATTAATCACTTTGCCTAAACTCTGAGCTTCACCCAATGACCTTACCCTTCATGACCTTGGATATATCCACACAATCGTCGTCTCCTCTTAGGCAAATTTACTTCTACAAGAATTAGAAATGAAGGATAGTAGAAAGAGAAAAAATTAATGGTCTGGTTTTCAGTTCTCCAATTCTGATATTGATTTTCCCTCAGGGAGCTGCCTCCCTTGTGTTCAGACCCAGACAATGCAAAAAGCTTGTAAAAAACTTGTGTTATATGTCAGTTTGCTCTTGGTTTGCTTTCATTGCTATGCCTCAAAGATACAAAGCAATGTCCTAGCATGAATTTTGACACTGTAGTACACAAACCCAAACAGCAACTTGATCCAGTATCATCAGTGCCAGCTTTCTTCTTTGCTTTGAGCTCTGCCTGAAACAAGTTTCTATAAATATGTTCTCTCATATTTATTTCTGATGACACCTCTAACCAATCAGAAATATATATTAAAATACATATATGTATGTATATACCCACCTCTGACCACCAGATGCAGCTGCCAAAGAATCAGTACTATTTTGTTAGAAACTTTGTCTCATAAGTAAGCCAATATATTAGTCCAAATATCTATTTGGGAGGAAACTGCAAGGAAAGAAAAACATTCTACTCCCATACCAACCTTCTCACCCCTCACCAAATCCTGCAGGAATAGCAGGAAACAATAATGCACTTTTTCCCATAGGGGAAATTCTTACTCCCGTTTTTTCCCACTGAACAGATAGGCCTAACAGAACAGTCTAATATACCAAATTTACATTTTGGTCAGACCTTCCTGAACTGTGAGAGAAGACATGAGTGTTTCTTTAATTTTATCTTCTGTTTGGAAAACTCAAAGCTATTATTTTAATCTTGGAAAAAGAACATTTCTAAACTTCCTAAGTAAAGCAGAATCCTTTTCAAGCTGTTCCGCTCTTTTGGGGGATCCTGAATTCAACATAGATATTTGCTTTACAGGAGACAAAATTTTGTTTTGTTTGGCAAACAATATTATCTTTGTCACTTGTGGATCCAAACTTCTCATTTACCTTACTTCCTCCAAACTAGAGCTCAGCTGGTCTAACAAAAGCTGCTAGAGCACTATGTTCTTAACAAAATACCATGATAGATACATTGGTATCAATACACAGACAACAAAAAGGCAAATACCCAACTTCCTCTTACACAGCAGTGTTAATCTCCCTGAGAAATGGGGGTGTTGGTCAATGAGAAAGTCCTCATTACCCAGCCATGTGCATTTGAGCCCAGAACCTCACCATGTGCTGGGCTGCACCCGTAGAGCATGAGCAACAGGTCAAGGGAGGGGATTCTCCCCCTCTACTGTGCTCTGGGGAGAACCCTCCTGCAGTCCTGATCCAGCTCTGGGGCAAGTGCACAAGAGGGACGTGGAGCTGCTGGAGCAAGTCCAGAGCAGGCTATGGAGCTACTGCAAGGGCTGGAGCAGCTCTGCTCTGGAGCCAGGCTGAGAGAGCTGGGCTGGGGCAGCTGGAGAAGAGAAGGCTCCTCAAGGGGACACCTTAGAGCAGCTCCAGTGCCTAAAGGGGCTCCAGGAAACCTGGAGCGGGGCTTTGGACAAGGGCCTGTAGGGACAGGACAACGGGAATGGCTTGAACCTGCCAGAGGGGAGATTGAGATGAGCTCTGAGGCAGAAGTTCTTCCCTGTGAGGGTGCTGAGGCGCTGGCACAGGGTGCCCAGAGAAGCTGTGGCTGCCCCCTCCCTGGCAGTGTTCAAGGCCACGTTGGACACAGGGGCTTGGAGCAACCTGCTCTAGTGGAAGGTGTCCCTGCCCGTGGCAGGGGGTTGGAGCTGGCTGAGCTTTGAGGTTCCTTCCAACCCAAACCAGTCTGGGATTCTATGAAATAGCTGAAGACCAGTTTTCAAGCCGATACGCAGGTTCAATTTCCATGTTAACTCGTGTTGCACTCCAACCAAGAGACAGAGTCTATCATATATTTAAGCCTGAAAACTAGCAATCACAAGAACTATACACACAGTCCCTCTACATATATCTTGAGAAAGGTGAGAGAGCTGTGTTAAAATACAGCCATAAAAGCACATTTAAAGTCTAGGTTTAAAATCCTTTCCACGCACCTGGATAATTATTGCTGCTTTTTCCTGCAGCTGGGCTGATAGCATCTCCTGCTCCTTCTGATGAGCAGCCTGTGCCTTCTCCCTCTCCTGAATCAACATCTGCTCCTTGTCCTGTAGTGACGTCTTTTTTTCAGCTTCAAATTCTTCCTGCATAAGTCACATAATATACTTTGGTTTACAGAGAGGAAAAAAAAAAACAAACCAACCAAAAACCCACCACCAAAATCCACAAGCAAACATCCACAATCCCCCTCTTACTTTTTCTTTTCACATGCATGCCTTACCTCCTGGTTAGCCTTTACTGCTAATTAACTAGCAGTAATTTACATGGTTAACACCTCCAATCAACAAAATTAGGCTGAAATGATGATTTAAAAACAGTTAGGTAGATGAATGTGGTCACTGAGACCCAGGTCATTTCAGACTGCTGAGATAGCAGTGAGGATCAGACAACAGATGGGTAAAGTCAGTATAGAGATGGACAGAAGCCACTGTAAGCAACTTCAAGTAGTACAACACCCATAGAACCCAGTTCCACATAGGAACAATGATTTACCAGAACAAACTGAAAATCTGCGAGGTGGATTTACACAGTTAAATGATCTGGAAGCTCTTCAATTGGATCTCACCTCAGAGTGCTCCAAAGCACACTAAAGGAAGGATTATCAGATATCCCCCACTCCTGCACCAGCAAATAAGGGAGGTGAAACAAGGTCCAGGGATCCCTTCCCAGGGAAGAGGCTAAAAGGAACCCTAATTAGTAATTGTTTCTGCAATACCAGGATGGGAAATGAGTCTTCTTGTTCACAGTACAGAAAACCCTCAAGCCATTTGGTCTATGAACACTAATACACTCCAAGGTGATAGCTGCCATTTTCATCAATAAGTCAAGAAAATGGTTTTTCTGCAGGGCATAAAGCAAGACTTCAGAGCAGAACATCTGTAGTCACCTGAACTGTCCTGGATGCTTTGTGGAAGACTCAGCCAGTCCTTACACTGAGTAGAGTCAAACAGCAGAGTATTCAGCAGTTAGCAAGATAAAAATGAACAGACAGGGACAAGGACCTTCCTCGACCAGTATGATAAACCTGTGGACAAAGTCTCTGAAACTGCCTGCCTCTTCTCAGCAGCAGTGCATCCAATAAAAGAGAATGTCAGGCTGTAAAAAGGAACTCAGAATATCTAAAATCTGCAAGGGGAGGCAAAGAGAACAAGAAAGCATGGTTGGCATGAAGACAATGGCAGAAATGAGATGGGGGAAGTAAGCAGGGGAAGGCTCATTGCAAAAACCTTTATCAGACCATGATGCACTTGAGCCTGACATTGCAAAGAGATCTAGTCAGTCTCTTCTGGGACAAAACACACATCTAGTTAACAAGGAAAAAAAAGCCAAAAGAGACAGCTGTACTAGCAGTAGCATCACCCCTGGCCAAATGTCAACAAGAAGAGAGGTTTCTGGTGTCCCAAAATGCTAATTTAAGTGCCTAGACAACACAAGAGAGAGAAGACCAGGAATTACTTTGGGGGTATATGTGTAACAGTCAGTCCACTCCTGGCTTCCGTGGATTGAAGGCTGGGGTTCAGCTGAGGACAATGCCAAATATATCTCCAGCAGCTTTTCAGGATATACTTGTGTCCTCTGTTTCAAAAGACAGCTGCACCAGTCAGAAAGAGGTCAAAGAATGACCAGGAATCCACAGAGGACCAGAGGCAGGAAATAGAGATTTTCTGCACATCTGCAGCACCCAGTTGTAGAGGTTTGTGGAACTGTTAGGAAGAGCCCCTCCTCAGGCTGGAGCACTGACAGGAACAGTAAGGATCTGTTGAAAACTCCAAAGGAGCAGCAAGTAAGGAGATGGTACTTCATCTAAGTTACCTGTGCTCAACAAATTGCTCTCACCACACGCTCAGTACAGTGATAACACTGAGGTGAATGTAAGCACTGACCTCAGTGTGTTGGCAAGTTTCCCTGTCTCTTCCGACACAGGTTGTGCCTTCTCCATAAGTTTAATAACTCAACATGGTCTTGGCACCTAACCAGTTGAAGCCATTTTGCACAAAACTCAGAAGATGACAGGCAATTACTACCTCACACACAAGGCCAAAGATAGCATCTTGATGATGTTTATCAGGATGATAGTTTGGAACTCAAATGATGACCCCAAAAAAGCAGAAATGAAGAATAACCACCAAAAACACCTCATGCACAAAGTGCTCACTGTCATCACACTAGATAACACTGAACATGGCTTTGCTTTTATATACACTGAACATGCATATACACAAGTCCACTGTACAAGGGACGACAGGCCAAGGGCACAGTTTATGCAGACAAGAAGAAAAAGTTTCAAATGACAAACTGAACAAATGTACACAAGGAATGTTGCTTAGAACAAAGACTGTTTGGTTTGTTTGAAGGACATCGCTTCACATCCAATTCAGGACTTTAAGACAACCATGTAATAAATAGCACAGTGTTGTAGTAACCCTGTAGTAAATACCATAACTGCTTACGAACACTGCAGTGTTTCCAATTCTGCTTTTCTAGTCCTAACATTGTGAGGCAAGACAACCTAAGTTCAGAGTTGAGTCACGTGGCTGAAGAACAAAAATGTTCACAAGTTTAGCAGTGCCTACTCTGAAGTTGATATCTACCAGCCCCTACCTTGAGCTGTGCAATCTGCTGCTCGAGCAGTACCTCCGACTGACACTTCAGCAGCTCAATCTCTTCCTGGAACTGGAGTTGCTGCTTCAATTTTACCTCCTCAAATTGAGCCAGAAGAGCTGTTCTTGCAGTTTCTACTTCAGAGGCCAACGCAGAAGCATACATCTGCAGACAAATAAGTAACAGAAAAGATTTTAGACACAGTGTTACAATTAAGCTAAAAAAAACATCCAAAACTATCGAGCTCAACCAAATTCTTCAGAGCATTTTCACTGTAGTTCTCTCCAATCCTCAAGGTCATACACAGTTGATATCTATCATCATGCTGACTGAAAAAAAAGCAAGTTGATGTATCTAGTTAAGAAGCAACAAAGCATTAGATACCAAGTATCTCCTGTATTCATGAAATCATTAGGTCAGACTAACCAAGTACTCCCTACTTGTTCTTTCCAACAGACAGAAATGAGGAAGAAAAAGGCAGAGAAAAACACAAGGAGAATATATTTCGTTGAGATGCAATTTCTCTTGTTCAAATGAGATTAAACATTACAGCTACGAGATACAACAAAGTTCATCAAAAAATACCAGGAAAGGATTGGGGCTTCTCTGTTAATTTCTTTTCTTTTTTTACTATTATCCTTTCTTAGAAGAGTCACTGTAGCCATCAGAATAGAAAGAATATATATAATATAGAAAAGTGAAGTCTTGATCACTTGTGGCTGCTTGCATCAACACAAGTCAGACTATATAAAAGACTCATTCCATTTCATTGTTTAAAGATAACTTACTGTAGATGATCCCATTTTTAGCCTTCAGTATAAAAGAAAACAACCAAGCTTATACATTTCCAACAAGAAGAAATGGTAAAGTTTTAAAGACAACTAGGAAGATTTCCAACCCTCACTGAGAAAACATCTGGAAAAGTATTACCTGCTATAATAGTTTCTCTAAGGAAAGAAGAAATCAATGTTAGCAAAGGTTATAAAAGTCATTTATGAAAGCCTGAAGTGAGCAGTTCCACAAATGGTTAATGACCTGAATTGTTACCTATTAGTTTTCTATCAAAATGGCAGCTTTCAAATGTTGAATTAAATAGAGCAGGAACTCAAAAGAAAGCAGCCCCCCCCCCCCCCAAAAAAAAAAAAAAAAAAAAGCACTGCAAACAGGGATTTACATGTAAATACTTCAGGCTAATACACATATATGAATTGTCTTAAGTCCTTTTAGATAAAGCAAGGCTTAAAAATGTTAACTTTGTCTTTTCTTATCTGTTTCCACTATTAAAACAAAACCATCCAAAAAGCATCTGGATACAACAACTTACTTCTAAGATTAATAAAACTGATTTTACTTTATGATAATCTATGTATTATTTCAGGTTTAGGTATTAGCAACATTCTGACCTTTTGCTCATGTTCGTGTTGTGCTTTTAGTTTCTCAAGTTGTTTTTCCAGCTCCCTGGAGTATTCTTCCTTATGTTTCTTCACTTCTGTCTCATGAAGATCCTGAAGTTCTTGGAGTGCTTTTCTGTGCTTGTCCTCCATATGCAATACTTCTTCACGTAATATATCCAGGGCCAGACGTTTCTCTTCTTCCAGCAACCTTCTTTGATTTTGAAGAGCTGTGTTCAATTCATCCTGTGCAAGCATTAATTTAAAAAGGGGAGAAAAAGAAGGAAGTACAAATATTTTTATAACCCACTTGTAAAGCTCATGTCATGCTGTATTAAAGCTTCTTAACTTCACAGGAAAAATACTGCCTCATGAATGATAAGCAGACATACATATACATAGAATCATAGAATGGACTGGGTTGGAAAGGATCTTAAGATCACCAAGCTTCAAACCCCTGCCACGGGCAGGGACACCTCACACTAGACCACATTGCCCAAGCCCCATCCAACCTGGCCTTGAACACTGCCAGGGATGGGGCAGCCACAGCTTCTCGGAGCACCCTGTGCCAGCACCTCAGCACCCTCACAGGGAAGAGCTTCTTCCTTATCTCCAACCTGAACTTCCCGATATCACTGCAATGAGCTTATTTTTCCTATGTAGTAGAAGTTTTTGACTCCCCTACTTACTCCTCTATCCATGGCACCTCTCCCTCTCACAGCACAATCTTCAACTTTATCTTTTTAAGTTCTTTACTCTCAAGAACAATTAAATGAAGATTTAAGATTAGTTAGCAAAGTTAGGGTAAAAGAAAAATACCCACCTTTCCCCCCACAAGACCTTCCTCTTAGCCTTTGTGGGGACAGAAACAACATAGAATCAGAAGTTTGAGAAGTGGGCATGGTGACAGACAAGTCTGAAAACCAGTACATGTCTCTCTGGAAGGATCTGAAGTTTAAGCAGTGAGCTAAGCCACCTTATCTCTTTGACTTGGAAAAGCCTTGGCATCACCTTTTACCCATCTGAACTCTTAAAAGAGCTGAAACCTCCACCCAATGAAGAGTTAAGCTACGGACTTCTGCTAAGGGCCCTAAGACAAGATCCACTCACCAACAATCTGCTCCCCAAAAAGCCCATCTGGAGCCTTTAGAGATACCCTTCTTCTAGTCTTCCCTTTGATACTGTGCCACTAGGGAGGATCTTTAGATTCCTGGAGATGTAGCTTAACCCATAGAATTGCATTTACTTTGTCCTGATCACTTCTGAAGAATTACAGCTACTCTATCAGGCAGAGAAGCTCTGAGACACAAAATAGAGAGACCCTTCAACCTGGACTATGTTAAAAATATTTACCTCATCTGTACCTTTTCCACACAGAAAACTCATTAGTCTGAGTATTCAGGGAGGAGAGCAACAGATGGACCTAATTTTCAGCTTCAGTTTCCTGTTTCAGCTCACACTAGGGCTACAAACTAGGATTAGTGGCAGGTTGTAAAAACACACCCCAAAAACAAGGGAAAAGGGCATCCCACGCAAGTACCATGAAATTTCACCTTCTATGTCAAGTTTTCTTCCTGACTCACCTTATGAGCTGCTTCTGCTTCAACAGCCATGGCTTTAAGTTTTTCCATATGAAGGGTAGCTAGCTCAATTTTCAACTTATTTTGGGAAAGCTGAAGTTCTTCAGCATGCTTTGACTTTAACATCTCTATCTCCTGATCCAAACGTGCTTGACCCATTTTATCCTTTTCATGGAGCTGTTCTGTGTGCTGCTGCTGTAGCTTCTCAAGAGCCTGACTGTGCTCATCTCTAATATTCTGAATTTCAGACAGGTAGGATGACTCCAAGGAATCCAGGTTTGATAAGTGTTTAGCCTCCAGCTCATCGATCTGCGCCTGGTGCTTTGTCTGTAGTTCAGCAATACAAGCTTCAAGCTGGATGTGATGTTTACTTTCTAGTGTAGATTTAAGTGTCTCAATTTCAGCTTGGTGCTTTGTTTGAAACTCAGTTGTAAGAGACAAAATTTGCTGCTTATGCTTCTCCTCTAACTGCTGAGTTTGGAGTTCCAGCTCATCAATGTGTTTCTCTTTCAGCTCTTGCAGAAGAATCTCTTGCTCAGTTGTGAATTTCTGAGTCATGGCTTTGTGTTGCTCCATAAACCTGTATTATTTCCAAGAAAGTTAAGAGAATATTGTCAAAAAAGCACTGCTTGTTTTGGTTTTAAACTGAACTAAAAATAAAAATCAAAGAAAAAAAAGGAGGCCTTACTTAGCCTCCACAAATTTGACTTTGTATTTCAAACACAGAACTAATCCACAGTGATTTCATAGCTACCTAACTGAAGGTATATGCACTGTCACTTGCTAGTATCTGGTTACTACTAGGTAGATTGGCACCTCTATTAAATTACTCAGTAACAGAGAGCAACATACAAACATTGTTCACTTTCTCTGAGAGAACACTGCCATATGAGAGCATCTGGGATACAGCATACACATCGTCTACACCTCAAACGTGTTATCTGCAAGTAAACCAACTGTCATAAGAATCATCTCAAAAACATCTGGTTAAGACCGAGACATAAACCCACTATGGATGTGGGATAGCCAGGGGCTCCTCCATATTCTCTAAGGTCTGCTTAAAGCTTGATGCAGAAGATTTAGTATCAGAGGTGCAGCAATTTACTGTAACCATTAACTATAGTATTTTTTGGATACAGACACCAATAATTAAAAAGTGATGGGCTATTTAAAGGCTGAATTCCTACTTTCAGTGTTTCCTTACTCTAATTATTTCCCTAATCTTGTTCTGTGAACAGTTGTTTAGGGAGGAAAGAAGGGATAAATTTGAAGCAATGCATGCAAATACAAACATGCAATTGAGTATTTCCTTTAACACACTTAAAACGGGTGCAGAAAGGGGAGGAAAAAAAGAGCAGTTATAGCTTTCCTGTTTAACCAGAACTGCAGAATACCATCTTCAGCCCATCAACCTCAGCATTCAGTGGTTAACACAGGTTTCATTCACCAGCTTGCTTAAATTCATTTGAATTGTTTGAAAACACTTGAAAAAAACCTTTGAGAATGTTTCCACTTTTATGTCCTTGTCCTGGGTTCAGCTCCAGCAGTCATTTTTTCTCCTTCTTAGTAGCTGGTGCAGGGCTGTGTTTTTGACTTTCAGTCTGGGAACAATGCTGATAACACCGATGTTTTTAGTTGTTGCTAAGTAATGTTTACTCTGACCAAGGACTTTCTCAGTCTCATGCTTTGCCAGAGAGGAGGGGAAGCCAGGAGGAAGCAGAGACAGGACACCTGACTCAAACTGGCCAAAGGGGTATTCCATACCACAGCACGTCATGCCCAGTATAGAAACTGGGGGGAGTTACCCGGAAGGCCCAGATCGCTGCTCGGGTCGGGCTGGGTATCGGTCGGCGGGTGGTGAGCGGTTGTGTCCTTTTCCCTTGTTATTCCTCTTATCATTATTATTGGTAGCAGTAGTGGTTTGTATTATACCTTAGTTACTGGAGAGCTGTTATCTCAACCCGTGGGAGTTACATTCCTTCGATTCTCCTCCCCATCCCTCCGGGAGCGGGGGGAGGAAGGAAAAGGAGGGGGAGTGAGCGAGCGGCTGCGTGGTTCCGGGTTGCCGGCTGGGCTTGAACCACGACAGTCCTATAACACTTCCCCTCCTCCAAGGCTGGTTTTCAGCTGTGTGTTGCATTCTTAACTGTAACAGGCAGAACTTGACCACACTTCTTTTGATTTGCTAGACTAGATTCAATGCATTTACATGAAGTAAAATTGTAGATTAAACTGCAATGGACAGCACTACAGTTCCTTGGGAGAGTGAGCTTTACATACAAGAAGTTAGCTGGTGCCATCAAGCGACCAACTTATATCACTACCACTCCAAGTTTAAAATAAGAGAAAGCAGCAATAACAATGACCAAATTGCTAAGTGAAGAGTGCTCAAACACTCGGGACTTACTTGCTTTGTGCTTCCGTAAGTTTCAGTGCACATTCTTCCTGCAGGCAAAGTGTGGCCTTTTCCATTTCTCTTGCCATGAGTGCTTTGGCTGCCTGCAGGTCAGCGTCATACTGCTCCTGAGCTTTCTGCGCAGTCTGTGCGCTTGCAAGACTGTCCTCCAGCTGCTGCAAGTTGTTTTGCTGCTCTTTTACCAGCTTCTCCAATTCTAGTATTTTGGCAGCCTGCTGATCTTGAATTTGATTCATTTCAGCTTCACGAAGTTCAAACTCCTTTTGTAACTTCTGCTTCTCACATTCACCTCTATTTTGCAGTTCGAGACGCAACAGCGATAACTTCTCCTCTGCTTGGATCCTCTCGTCCTCTCTTTCACATTTCCATTTGCTCTCTTTTTCTTTGTACATAGTCTCCATCTTCTGCACTTCTTCTCTGGCTTCTCGTAATTTATTCTTGTGATCCTCAGCCATTTCATATTTTATCTGTGAACACAGTTTTGCATAAAATACCAAAACCAAACCGAAGTGTGTGAAGTGAACATTCTCAGGCATAAAGGTCTTGGAGAGATTCAATTCTTGCAGTGAAATAAAATACTGCTTACTTCCAAATAAAAGTAAGGCTGAAATGTCAATTTATAGCTATTTGAATTCAGTGCATTAGTAAGAATTAACTGGGGTAAGGAAGAAAAAATTAAGGCAAAATTCTAGCATTAATAAGATACTCCATGTTCTTTTCCCTCGGGGCCGCTTTCCTTCATTTCAATTCAACTTACAAATCACAGAATCACAGACTGGTTTGTGTTGGAAGGGACCACAAAGCTCAAACAGTCTCAACCCCCTGCCACAGGCAGGGACACCTTCCACTAGAGCAGGTTGCTCCAAGCCCCTGTGTCCAACCTGGCCTTGAACACTGCCAGGGATGGGGCAGCCACAGCTTCTCTGGGCACCCTGTGCCAGCACCTCAGCACTCTCACAGGGAAGAGCTTCTGCCTAGGAGCTCATCTCAGTCTCCCCTCTGGCAGCTTAAAGCCATTCCCCTTGTCCTGTCCCTACAGGCCCTTGTCCAAAGCCCCTCTCCAGGTTTTTTGTTGGCCCCCTTTGGGCTTGATTAAAAACCTCTCATCTCCTTTTGTGTTCCAGTTCCGGATACTTTATATGAGGTGTCCAAGTCCATCACAAGGACAGTTCTCTTATGTAGCATTAAAACCACAAACGTGTAGTATAAAAACAGAAGCCAAAGCACTAAATGATTGTTCAAATGATAAAAGGCAGAAAAAGACTCTAAAAATATACTGAAAGGGTAAACAAATAAATAGTAAGCTAAGGGAACAAGAGGGTCATCTCTTAAAAGAAAACTAAAGGCTAGTAATACCACATAGGAGTGTAAAAGCAGTAATAGATCACATTGGTATAAAGTAGACTCTTCAGTTTGCTCTTGAAAAGTTCATTTTGAACAAATATTTAAGCATTCATTTATGCTACAGCCTAAATGATAAGGCAGAAAAGGAAAAAAAACCCAGGATTTTGATTAACACACAATCCAGGAAGATTTTTGCTGGATGCACTGGAAATAGAGAGGCAATGGAGGAAATCGGTTCACTCTGTTTCTGAGAGAGAGAGATCAGACAGCAAGCAAAATATGTATTCCCAGACATAGGATCAGCATGTGGGCCAGGGTCATTTCAAACACCACATTCCACATATGCTTATCTTTTACCCACCCAGTAGTGCCACAGACAAGATCCTGCAAATGGTAGGAGTAACTATTAGTTGTGAAGGCTTCACTACTAGAAGCTTCAGATCAGTCTCCTTGTCATCTCCAGTCTGCAACTGTTTTCTCTGGGCTTCCCCACTGGATTTTAAGTCTGCAAAAGGATGTTCATTATCTCTCTTTAAAAAGGGAGGAAAAGAGGACTTGAGAAATAAGAGCTTCATCCATCTAATTCTCTTAAGCATTCAAATACTAGAACAAATTAAGCAAAGAATTAACATCCAAGCTAAGCTTATCCTCAGATGGGACAGCTGACTGAACAGGTAAAAGAGAGATTTGTAGCGAGGCAAGGGTTGGTCTCTTCTCCCAGGTAACAAGAGGGAATGGCCTCAAGCTGTGCCAGGGGAGGTTTAGACTGAATATTAGGAACAACTTCTACCCCTGAAGGGTTGTGAAGTACTGGAACAGGCTGCCCAGGGCAGTGGCGGAGTCACCATCCCTGCAGGTATTTAAAAGATGTGTAGAAGACATAGGATCAGCATGTGGGCCAGGGTCATTTCAAACACCACATTCCACATATGCTTATCTTTTACCCACCCAGTAGTGCCACAGACAAGATCCTGCAAATGGTAGGAGTAACTATTAGTTGTGAAGGCTTCACTACTAGAAGCTTCAGATCAGTCTCCTTGTCATCTCCAGTCTGCAACTGTTTTCTCTGGGCTTCCCCACTGGATTTTAAGTCTGCAAAAGGATGTTCATTATCTCTCTTTAAAAAGGGAGGAAAAGAGGACTTGAGAAATAAGAGCTTCATCCATCTAATTCTCTTAAGCATTCAAATACTAGAACAAATTAAGCAAAGAATTAACATCCAAGCTAAGCTTATCCTCAGATGGGACAGCTGACTGAACAGGTAAAAGAGAGATTTGTAGCGAGGCAAGGGTTGGTCTCTTCTCCCAGGTAACAAGAGGGAATGGCCTCAAGCTGTGCCAGGGGAGGTTTAGACTGAATATTAGGAACAACTTCTACCCCTGAAGGGTTGTGAAGTACTGGAACAGGCTGCCCAGGGCAGTGGCGGAGTCACCATCCCTGCAGGTATTTAAAAGATGTGTAGATGTGGCACTTAGGGACATGGTTTAGTGGTAGTGTTGGCAGTGAACAGTTGGGTTTGATCAACTTCAAGGTCTTTTCCAACCTAAAGAATTCTATGATTCTAAGGTGCCAGATAAGATTCTCTCAGCTTTTTACTCTCACTGTCAAAAATCTAAGAGTTACACCAAAGCAAAGAAAAAGCAGAAATCTCTTCTCTAATTCTCTCTTCTTCCCTCAAAAAATGATCTGAAAAATTATTACTGGTTATTTGCTTCAAAGGCAGAAATTTCTTAGAAGGGACCTGTTCAGCAGAGAGTTCTCTCCATCTGCCCCAGTGCTTTCTGCTGAATTCTCCATTGCCACATGACAAGTCAGAGTATGCAAGTGTACCATGTTACTTTTGCACCAGGACACTCTGATCTGCTGCAGAGAGATGTTCAGGATGAGGACCTTTTGTATTCCAGTATTTGTGTGTATGCATGCAAGTCCATTTAAAGCTGAAGCTACTATCACTAACTAAGCACATCTAAAGGTAAGTGCTGCTTCTATCTCCCTTGGTCTTCCTAACACCTCTGAGCTTGCCCAACTCTCTGCCAAACAGTACTGTAATACATGTTACCTTTTCCATTTCCTCTTTCAGATGCTTTTCATTCTGCACAGAGGAATCTTTTTGTTTAGTAATCTCTTCCTTTAAGTGCTCTATTTCTTCCAAAAGCTCTGCAATACGCTGTTTCTCAGAATTGAGGAGGGAGAGCTTAGCTTTGTGCTCTTCCTCCAGCATAGACATGCGCTCAGCCACCTCCATTTCAACTTGACGTGCTGCATCTTGAGCACTCTGTAGGCGCAATTTGGTGATTTCTGAAAAGCAAAAACAAAACAATAAAATGACATTCTGGAACTTATTTTATTTTAGTAGGCTTTATTAATGCACAGAACTAAAGTGGAACATTGTCAGCTGTGCAGTTTATCAGCAGCCGTACTAAGTAGAGATCAACAAGAACCCCTTATCAGGATGATTTTGTACCAACTAGAGATCAACAAGAACCCCTTATAAGGATGATTTTGTACTTTGTTCCATTTTATCATCACCTTTGAGATATATCAGTATCCACACACAAAGAATAACGGGGACGGATCATGAAGCCTGTGGCAGGACCTCTCTCCCACCAGCAACAGCCACAGGACCTGACTTTCTTTTGGGGCAATGTAATTCAAGTTTTATCTCCTCTTTTGTACGTGCTTTTTACACAAGGCATTTCCAAAAAAATGCAGATGGAACAAATCTCTAAACATTCCATTTTAAGCACTTTTTTATATGCTGTCTAGTATTAAAAAGAAAAATAAATAAGAAATATAACTGCAAATGTTAAAAGTTGTACTGATCCTTTTAACCAACAGAGTGGAATATAGTTATAGCTGTGTGTTATATAGCTAACTGTAAATTATGGATTATAAAGTCATACTATGCTCCAAAATCAACGTTGCAGATACAAGAACTGCCATGACACCTTACCTGCACCTCAACAATATATGCGTTTCACACTGAATCAATACACAGCAGTATATTTCTATAAATTACAATTCCAAGAAAAGCAGCAATGGTTAGGAAATTACATCAACCCATGACCACATTGGAAGTCTCATTAAATTTAGTCTTAAGAGGAACTTTAACCTGAACTCCACATCAAAAGAAACCTATTACAAATTCTGCTCCTCCTTTGTGTTCAAAAAATTCATCCCAATACATCTGCCAACTAGTGGAAAACACAGGAGAAAAAGGAAATATTAACATTAAATGAGCAGATCACTCTGAAACCCACAAAAGAAACAGGCAAAAGAGGTATGGCACATAGATCGGAAGTGGGTCTACTCTATGGAACTGGCCTATTTCATGCAAATAGAGGAGGCATTTAACATAACTGACAGACAAGACTAAGAAAATCTCAAATATTAATTCAGGAATTGACAGTGCCCTTCCAGACATCAAGAATGAAAACCTGATCAACTCCTTTTAGCAACTGCTCCACAGCTGTAGCACATTTTACTACAGAATAATCAACTTCAGGTCACCGTATCTTTTATGGGCATGTTGAGTTGTGCTACCAAAGGCAAAAAGCAAAGTGCTTGATGCCAGGGATTAACATGTGTTAAGTGTTCCCTAGAGTTGATAGTAGATAATAACAAACTGAAAACTGGAAAAGCCTATTTAAAGGAATATATAAGCCACACAAGCAGCTTAATGTTTTACTTCCCAGTCTGTCAGATCATCTTACCTTTTAAATGTTCTTCTGAAAGCTGGGCACGGAGCTGCTCAAGTTCTAAACAATGCTTTCTTCTCATTTCCTCTATTTCTGTTCTATATTTGTCTGACAGATCCATCTTCGTTTTCATTAAGTCCTCTTTATATTGAAGTGCAAGGGAAGACCTTAAGGAATCTAATTCACACCTGTGTTGTTCTTTAAGTTGTACCTGCAAACAGGCAAGTTCTTCCTACACAAGAAATGGGTTAGAGAAAGACATCTTCAGCTTTGAAGAAACCATGCCAAGTATCTTTCAGTGACAGCAGCAGTATAAGGCACCTGCTCGACATGCATATATCTGGTTTCCAAAAAACCTGCTGGCTTTGCTCTGTTCCTGCTGCTCCATCTGCTGCTCCAGCAGCAGAGCCCCTCAAGACAGATATGCTTTGGAACCATGCCACAAGGCAGTTTTGAGCTTCAGGAGCTGTTTGAATGTATAGTAGAGGGGAGAGTCCCACATGCCTCTGGGCAGAGAAACTATTGACTCTCAGCAATTAAGAGACCCCTTTGTGTACACCACAGAACTTAAAAGTAATCATCTACTATGCATGCAGCTTCATACTCAGCTAGGTAATCAAACAGAAAGAAAATAGGTATGATGTGTACATTTCTCACAACTCGTGCATTTTTTGTGTAATTTACTAATGAAATTGAGCTCATGCTGTCTTGGGGGTGTCTTGTCTCCTTGTCATTCCCTTACTAAAAAAAAAAATATTAATTTTATAATTCATTTAAAAAATAAAAATCTAAAGCCAAAACCAAAAGGAAAAATCCTTTTTGAAATGCTCAGTCCACTTCAAGTTAAGCAAAGAAGTAAGTTCTTAAATTACAATAAGGTACATAAAAATATGTGTGTAAATGGAAGAGGGACCAAATTAGCAACAGCGTTTGAAGAGAACAGGCAGCAATAAAAGGCACAACTACTACAGAAGCTATAGAGAAGAGAAACACCATGAGTTCTGCACTTGTGTAGAAAAGCTTTCATAAGCTCTTTACTAGGCACAGGATAACCCAAAGGACACAAAATCACAGAACACTGTTTCATCTGTTCTGCTAGGCTGAGAACTGATAATTTACTTGTCAAAAATAATTAAGCCTTAATAAATGTCTCGAATTACTAACTATTTGCTAAGAGCTAGGAATCAGACATCACTTTTCATATAGGTCATGTAATGAACAGTAGAACTTTAATATATCAAAAATCCTACCTGATGATGCTCCAGCTGTTGATTTAGCTGAACAAGCGTATCCTTTCTCTCTTTCTCAGCAGCCTCTTCAAAAACTGTAACAGAAGAACTGAGAAAAGGGGTTTCAAGTTTAAGATTGCAATGTGTCACAAATTAAGTCAACTTGCCAATTTACGATGTAGTACCAAAAGTAGGCACAGAGCAATTTTAACAACTGCTCAGGACTGAACATTCATGACTTCCATCACTGGGTTTCTAACTACAGATCACCTAATGCTCAATCCCAATATATTTAGAAGCTAACATCATCATTAGTATTAAAAATATAATGCAAGCAATGCTGTCATGACATGAAGGGAAGAGGAATAATCACCTGATGTCCCCTGCTTGATCTTGACTCATTTCCAACTCTGACAGTGAATATTCCTTCAGCTCTTGCAGTCTCTGATGCAGCAAAGTCAATTCTTCTCTGTAGTTTTCTTCAGCAACTCTTAGCTTCTTTTCAAAGTAAAGTCTCAGTTGTTCCAATTCAGCTTCATGCTCACTTTTTCTCTGCTCACGCTGCTGTTCGAATTCTTGTTTTAAATGCTCTATTTCTTCCACCTGTGATGCACGAGCCAGGAGCTGCTCTTTTAGCTCTGGAATGGAGGCAAAACCAACTCAAGTACTCGGAAGCACATATCTTTAGGCTAAATCATTCTGTGAAGATCAGCCATATTTTAGTTGCTGAGACAGCAGTAAAATGTTATACCAGAAGCTACATAAGAAAACAAACTTCTAAAGACAAAACATTCCTTCCTCAATAAACCTACATTCTCCATTCACACCGCATTCAGAGAAACCATTCTCCTCATGACAAGAATCAAAGCTACCAGAAAACTGTTAGACGTCCTCATTTCCTTGGGTTTCATGTCTGGGCTAGTAACATGCAGAGTCCTACAATATTGCTTAATCATCACATGTGCTCACTGTAGCAGGGACTAGTAACACCACCAACGGGATAGGCAAGGGGAGTCCAATCTGGTATGGGTAGGTTTTGCCTAACCAGTGAAGTCTGCCAGGACAACATTAACCCTGAGAAATGTTTAACAGTTTTGATCTGGCATGTCATTTGTACATCAGAGCAGTGATCCCTTGATCCAGCTGCCACGTTATGAACCCGCCACCACAAGTCCTCAAATCAATCCAAATGCATTGTCAAAGGATCACTCCCATGAAGAAAGGCAGAGTAAAACAAGCCACTTTTAAGATCTCACACACCAAAAGAGATATCCTCACCTGGACCACGGGTTTGCGTTCTGGTTTCACCATCTCAAGCAAGATGAAGAAGAAACAAAAGGGGTCCAAAGAATGGGAATGTGAGCAGTTAGAAACATGGAGAGACATTTGAAATGTTAATAAAGATCAGGGCTACAGAGAGGAAATATAAGAATTCCAGCAAATATTATAAAGTGCTATCTGCTGTAATTTTGTAATAGCAGAGATCAGAAAAAGTCCAGGTAAAGTCTGACTAGATAGACTGTTTTGTTCAAAACATTTAAATCTTGAAACAGAAATCTTAAGAAATATAAAGCATACGGTCAGATTTCAGCCAGCCATTATTTTCTCTCAGGCTTTAAAACTTTTCCGTAAGTTTAATGCAGATACACATAAGTCTTGTGTGAGGTGTCCCTGGCCATAGCAGGGGGTTGGAACTAGGTGATCTGAAGGTTCTTTCCAACCCAAACCATTCTATGACTCTACAAAACCTGTTATCTTTAACTGCTGTTTTGTTGGGGTTTTTTTGCTTTTAGATTTAGAGTATATGTTTATTTTTTAAACAAAAGCATCATCATGGAAAAAGGAGGGTATTTTTAGCCTTGTAGGAAAACAACATTATCATTCATTCTGACTTCAGAAGTATCACCTGAATGTTGTTGGTTTAAATTAGAGGTATCATTAATCCAGGGCTTTTCTACATTGAACAATTAATAGCCTTTCAAAAGATGATGACTCTCTATTTTAAGTGTCAATGAAAATGCATTTTTATTTAACTCGTCTCAAAACCAAGAGGGGAAAAAAAGCCACTTCTACCTCAAGATATAACTTAATCACTATTTTAAGATATTCTTGCCTTTTTGCCTTTTTTTTTAAGCAGACTCATCTCTTCATTATCTCCAAATAAAATAGCAACTATAAACAACCCAAAGTCATAAACTAAGCAGTAAGCTTTACTGCCTACCTACAATTAAGTTTGCTCAATTGAATTCATACCCGCTCCCATACTGAATACAAACAGGAGCATGTGATTGCATTGACGAGCATTTTCTACCTTTTTTAACTACATCACACTTAATTTGACATTGCAATGAAAAATATTTGGTTTTCACTAACAATTTTGATGGTGTGCAGGAACAGAGTGGGAAGGGAAAGGAAAACCACAGGAGGGAGCTTTTCTCCATAGAGACATCATACTTTTTGATATTGCAGAATCAGCTACTCATCTGACACCGACTCACTTTCTCTCTTCAGAAACGGAACACTGTGATCTACCTGTGTGTTCTGGTACATGAGCACAAGTATTTTGTGCCAATAATGTGTACTTCTATATGAAGAAGAGGCAAAAAAGAAAGTGCATCAGTTTTGAACCTACCACTTAGCTCTTGTCGATTTGCTCGGGTACTATCAAGTTGAGACCAAAGGTGCCTGACTTCTTCCTGTGAACGAGTCTTGAGTTCTTCATGCATGACCTGAAGTTTCTCCAGCTACAGAAGACATGTTAAAAAACCAAAACCTCTCAACTTCTTAAAACAATTTTGTTCTAATTGCTTATCTGATAAGCACCGACAGTTCTGTCGGAAATAGGTACAAAGTCTTAGCAGTAATCTCAGCTCCTCACATCCACGCTATCAGAGATGCTGAGTAGCACTTGACTGTTAGATCCACTCCTCAGAGAGAGGAATTTATTCTTGATGCCATATTTAACATCAGGGGCAAAAATAAAGTATTAGCTATATAAAAATGAAACACAAGAACCAGAAAATGAAGCCTATAAATACAGAGGAAGAAAAAGCACCAAATGGCACAAAGGCAATTGCATTCAAAAGATTTTGAATGACTAGAAAATCCCAGAGTATTTACCCACTTCATGAGTTTTAGTTTGTCAATAAAATCCCTAAATACAAGCAAGTTACCAAAATGATGTGTACATTGTCTAGTTTTTGCTATATAGCATCAAACACTCTAAACGAGTATTTAGTATTTCTTACCTCTTTCTGAAGACTCTGTTCTTTTTCTTGGCTTTTCATCTTCATATTTTCTAGGAGTTGGTTATGTTCAGCCTGCAGCTGCTGTTGTAATTCCACAATGGCTAACTCATGTTGCTCCTCCAGTTCTATACATTTTACTAAAATCAAAAGTGAGTTCTGTTACACCATCGTCCCAGTTACTGAATAACCTGTACAACTTTAATGCAACTAAAGTAGAAATGCACGTCTCTAGACTAGAATGGTGGCTCAGACGGTATCACTAAATACTTGACGAGTAAAGTATTTGAAAGTCAAACATTTCCACACAGTGCTTCCCAGTCTCTGCATCCCATGCTGTTAGCCAAGAGATAACCCAACAGCAGTGCTGGAGGGATGAGCATCTGCTCTCTGCATACATAACAAACATCCTGAACATGAAGCCCACATACAGGGAATCAAGCATATCTTTAGATCCTACAAACACCGCATTTTTCCTATGACCATGCTCAGCAGCTGGCAGAGGTGAACAGGAAGGACTAGGAAAGCTCACACCAAGTATGCTCTACCTCAGCACTGAGCACTCTCTGAACCCTGTAAGTGTGCTACTACCTCATTCGGTCAACAAATCTTGACCTGCACAGAAAGAATCTGCAACCAAGTGACCACATTTCAGCCCCAGTGAGCTGCAAGGGATGCCATGGTATCCTCACAGAACAGATCTTAATGATACAGGTTCAGGGAAATCCACTAAAGCTAGTGCAGGCTGGGAAGAACAAGCATGTCCTCACAGCAGCTAAAGGTGAGCCAAACACTGTGAAAGCATCCAGTTCTTGGCAGGACAAAAAGGCTACTCTTCACTTCTGAAACCTGGTCCTGCTGCCTGCCTGCCAGCATCATCCACCACCCTTAAATACTGCATTTGCACTTACCTGTAGTGAGTATTACAGAATCCCAGCATGGTTGAGGTTGGAAGGGGTCATCTAGTCCACCCTCCATGCTCAAGCAAGGTGCCCTAGAGCACATTCCTCATTTCCCATGTCTCTCACCTGCATAGTGCCTCAGAGGCTAGGCAACCTGAGCAGCTATCTCTCTTCACGTCTTGGCACACCATATCTTGTGGCTCCTACTCATGCCATCACTGACAGCAAATCTGACACTCTTACGGCAGTCAACCACTGTCTCAAGAAACATGTCAGATTCTGAGATATACAGAAACTTTTCCTAGTTCTATCTCCTATTAGTACCTCAGCAAAAGGCATAAACAGATGTACCTCACTAGGTACTCATTCAGATTTCATTTTTCAAGTTAATGAAAACCTCAGTTACAGGTCACTTCCAGAACAGTGCCTAAAAAAAGCTGCTATTCCATTAAATTTTAACTAGTCCCAGTGAAAACCTATTGGGTTTTTTGTTAGAAGAAGCTTCTATTGATAATAATCAATAGAATTTTGATTAATTCACTGCCAAAGCTGGTTTTCAGTTGGAAGCAAAAAAGTACCTCCTTTTAATATGCTTGAAGGAAAACACAGTCTATCTCATATCCTATAGAAGTCAAAGCACAAGACAACTAACTAGGCTTTAAACAATTTTTCATTTACATAGAACCACAGACTGGTTTGGGTTAGAAGGGACCTTAAAGCTCATCCAGTTCCAACCCCCTGCCATTGGCAGGGACACCTTCCACTAGAGCAGGTTGCTCCAAGCCCCTGTGTCCAACCTGGCCTTCAACTCTGCCAGGGATGGAGAAGTCACCACCTCTTTGGGCAGCTTGTTCATGTGTCATCCTGTTTTCAAGAGAGGCTTATGCCATTGACTCAGTTTTTGAGTACACAGATACATTTGCTTTTTGTACAGGTTCTAAAAACACTTAGCTAGCTTTGCCATCATTCAATAAATACAACTGCTTCCCACGCTATGGCACTTACTTTTAGACTGTTCATTCTCCAGAGAAAGAACACTCAGCTCTGCTTTGACTTTTTCTAATTCCATTTCCAGAGTTTTCCGCAGTTCCACCATTTCAGTCTGATGTTTTCCAGACAGCTCTTCAACCGTGTTTTTTAAATGTGTATCAGACTCCAATTCCCAATCTCTTTTGAGAGTCTAAGAGAGGAAGATTTGCATTATTAAAGCAAACACACTTAGTAAATGAGTACTTTTCTCCTCCATTTATCTGTCCTCAACAATAAATGTGTAGTGAACACAGGACTTCTACCATCTCTAGTTTACTGAAAGGAGTTTATCTTTTTCTTGTATGAAGAACGGAATTTGTACCTCTAATGCCTGGGTATGTTTCTCTTCCATTTCCAATTCTATTTTCTTTCTCTGATCAACTGTGAAATAAAATACTTATTAATAAATTTACAGTAAATGTTATGATTAAATGACAAGTAGAAATATGGATGAGATTACCATTTTCAGCATCAAACACAGGGATAGACATGCAACAGCGTAAGGTAGCAGGTTCTATCCAAATCCACACCTTTAATGCTAAAGATATACATTCAAATGCCTATCAATGCTTGCATTTCAGTGCACATCACTCTGAAGTGTTTGAATCATCTCATGTCTCCAGAGACACAGCAAAAGAGTCCCAGGCAGCAGCAAGAAGGAAACTCTCCTCAAATTTCTTCTAAGAATGCCTAAGAAACAGACTGCAAGACAGATGTTGTTATCTGGTCTGTTATCACTGACACCAATGGGTTCTTCCTTCCCAGCTCCTCCCCAGACTGATTCCAACTTCTTATTCAGCACCCATCTTGGTCTGCAGGAACCCTGCAAGGGCCTATCAATTCCCTTCTCACAGCTTCAAAGTACCTTAGCTTGCCTTAGCTTGCAACCTTATTTCAAGCGTTCCAGTGGGAAATGAGAACTCAGAGATGGTGCCAGCTACCCAGCTAATGGTCCAGTAGAGAAAGAAGTATCATCTAAGTGACAAGAGTGTCCCACCATTCAGGTGAGTTGGGACATGGCCAGTCATCGCCTCTCTGAGGAGAAATGTCTTTCCTCTAGACCCCCAGGTAACAGTACCCACAACTCCCCACCAGGATTCTTTCACCATCTGATTGAGAGTTCTTCTTCTCAGCCTCTACATTCAAGAACTCCTAAGTGGTTACATTCATATTAATGTATTAACATGCCAGCTCTATACCAAGACAGGAACCTGCGGAAGAAGACAAATATTGGATGGGGTTTCAATGTCTGGTCCATTATTCCCAAATTTTAATACCTAGTTCTTGCTGATGCTTTGACTTTAGGTCTTCTTTTTCCTTCAGACACTGTTCTTTAATCTTCTCCCACTCCAGCTGGTGGCGGCTCTGCAGAATTGCTACCTCTTGAGCACGTTTATCATTGAGCATCTCCCGGAGTTCCACCAGGGCAGTTTCCTTTTCTTTTCTCAAGTTAGATTGGGTAAGCTCAAGCTGAGAGGTATGCATGTTATTTAAGCTTAGACGTAAAGCTTCCAGTTCAAGGCTGTGCAGTGTCTGTAATGGAGAAAAAAAGAAAGAGGTTTTTTCCCTCCCCTCTAAAGAAATACATTCACTTTTTTCACCATCAGTTTAACACATGTAAGTTTTGCTTTTGTGCACTTGGAGAGTGTTTCGTCATGGCAGAAGAATGTTTTTTGAAGACAGAACCCTGAAAATAAGCTGCTTTTTATTACAGTAAGATTTGTATAACATTTTCCAAGCAAAATGCTTTCCTTGCCTGCCTCTTAACTTCATCTCCTACCGAATATCTTGTGTCTGCCCACTTCCTCAGAACGTCAGATCAGAACACAAGCTCACCCCAACCTTTTGCTGTCTATTAAGAAAAATTCCTCATATGTGCTCATGGTTATAATTTAAGAAGCAAATTTCTGAAGTGGTATTGGAAAAGTGAAATAAAATTCATCATGCTTCATCAAAAAAGATGTTAAATATCCAACAGTTAGAAATGGCAGTGAAAATAGACCAACCAAACTTTTCAATTCTTATATAAACTAAACACTACGCCATCTTGTAATTAGACCCAACACTGGATGCATTTCTTCCCATTTCCAGTTTGCATTTAGTGGAAGTGTTCAAAAACCCAGTAAACACTCAGAGGAAAAGGTCAGGTTTATATACTTGAGTTTAGCAAGAAAACATTCCTGATTACATTAGTGGGATAAGTAAAAAGTGGGAGGGGGTTGGTATTTTGCTTGAATTCACTTATTAAACTTATCAAGGCATGAAAAGTGACAGAGTTGGGCTTTTGGGGTTTTTTTTTGGGCTGGTTGGTTTTGGTGTTGGGGCTTTTTGGTTGTCATTTTATTTTGGTTTTTTAACCCATCAATTTCAGCATCCTGTTTTCTGCAAAATCAACATTAAAATATAATTGCAGTGAGGATCCTGGAGAACTCCTGTAGAAAATATCTACTACCACCCACCACTCCTAACTCTTCAATGGTAGCACTACATAAAGGAGTTCACATTGTACGCACAAAACCCAAGGGCCCTTCTTCTGCAATAGCCAGGTAACCACTGCAGTAATTCCTGTGCTCCTGTATTTCACCTGGGATTGGAGCTGAGCCTGCTCAATCTCTGCTTTGTGTGTGGCTGCCATTTGCTGCCGAAGTTCATCCAACAGGAGCTGCTGTTCTTTATTTAGCTCAGCACGAAGCTTCTCCATTTCCTCTTCGTGTCTAGTGATCAGCTCAGAGACTTCACGATCGTGCTCTCGTTCATGTACCTGCAGAGAACACTCAGCTGAAGAACTTGATTCAACAAAATAACCAGAATTCTCCCCTCTCCTGACCCCAAGTCAAAGACACCATGGAAAAAAACCCAATCATTAGATACTGGCATCTCTAAAACATTTATACAGCTTAAACAACACAAAATGAGTTTACTTCTCTGAAATCAACCCAATTACAGCATTTACCTTTTTTATTAAAGCAATCTGTTCCTTCCTTTCATCTTCCAACTTTTGCTGGTTTTCTACTTTATCTTTTATTTCAGCCTTTAATTCTTCTATCTGCAATCAGGCATACAAACATTTACAATGACTACCTTAAGCATTCTGAAACCCCAAGCCTCCCTCTTGGTTTTCCTACCTCTTTCTTCTGTGTCAAACTCACTTTAGTTAATTCAGCACAGTGCTGAGTCTCCATTTTATCCATTTCCTCTCTGTAATGTTTCACCATCTTGGCTTGTGCCTCCTCTGCAGCTTGTGCAGACTGAAAGGATTCCTGCAAGCGAGCCTCAAGCTCCAAATGAGCCTTCTTCAAATGGGCAATTTCTTCAGTCAACTGGCTTTTATTCTCACTGTATTCAGTATTTTTGGCCTTTATTTCAGCATGAAGTTTATGGATTTCTAGGTTGCTGAAGTTTAACCTCTCCTCATACTCCAGTCTTTCATACTCCTGTATTTCTCTGAGGTTCTTCACTTCAGCATTAAGTTCCTGTATGTTTTTCTCAAGATCCTCAATGATGCTAGCATTGTCTGCTAGTGCTTTTCCTGCTTTTATTAGCTCCACCTCCACATCAGATAATCTCTCTCCTAAGGCTGTTTTTTCCTCCAATAAGAGTGCTAATTCTTGTTCTTTATTATTTATTTCAGCTTTGAGCAACTCCTGTTCTTTTAGCAATGTCTCTTCAGATATAGTTTTCTGACCAAGCATCTCTGCTATTGTCTGGTTTTTAGCCTTCTGAGCATCAAGCTGGCTTTGCATCTGATCCCTCTGACTTTGCAAAGCAGCTAACTGACGTCCAAAAAGAGACTGTACTTCACTTGTTACAGAATCAGAAGCTGTTTTCTGCTCTTGAACATCTTTCACTAATTGCTCCTGAGTTCGCAGCTGCACCATCAACATTTCTCTTTCCTCCTGGAGGTCTTTTATCATTTCTTGCCAAGTAGAGGATTTTGACACTTGCGTTGAAGTTTCTCCATCCTCGCCCTGCTGCCTAATTAGAAACATTATTTTGTTTTCAAGTTCTTTCTCCTTCTCTGCTTTTTGAAGAAGTTGTTTCTCACAACAGATCCGTGCTTCACGCTCCTCATCCAGTTCCACACGCATTTGAGAGAGCTCTGCCATTACTTTTTCCCATTTCCCAACAACTTCTTGGATCTCCTCATAAGATTTCTTCAAGGCTGACTCCTTCTCATGGAGTTGCTCATTTAGCTTCAGACATCTCTCTGCTAAACTGGTTGTCTCATCACCCTTTACATCAACATCATGGTCACTCATTTTGCTTTGGTGCAGGGAGCTATCTGACAAAAATGAAACAAAGGCTTTTGCACTCACCTCAGTCTCTTCAAATGTTTCTTGAGCCAAATCACTAGGATGTCTTTCCTCGTCAAGGCCAAAGCTTAATGGAGATAGAAAGTCTCTGCTGGCTTCTAGAAGCACACTACTGTCTAACCCATACCTACTGCACCTACCTTCTTCAATGGCATAGCCTTCAGAAGTGCTGGATGCATACGACTCTCTTGGTGTCTCCGTGGAGATGAGGTATTTAGCCAATATACCTTCATCACCACTGAAAAACCCCGGTTCTGGCAAGTGTTCTTGAGACAGTTTATCACCTTCACTATTTTCATTATTCTCTGTGATCTTTGAATTCTTTATTTCTACTAATTGATCCCTTGAGGAGTCTACTCCAAAGCCATGCTGGAACTCTAGTTCTTCATGAACTAGCTCATCTTCATCTGTCAACTCGGGTGCTTTATTCCACATCTCATCAAGCTCTGCTCCCAACTCTGGCAAAGTCTGGTTTTCCCTCAATTTCATTAACTTTTTATTGGAAACAATCTCTTCATCATGCTTTTGCCTTACGTCTATAGTGTTTTCAGCCTCATGAAGTTGCTTCTCATTTAATTCCTTGATGAAAGAATTCAGTTTCTGAATCTCTCCATTCAAGGACTGTTTTTCTTGTTTATATTGCTCAGCTTCCTTGAGCTGCTCTTCTGCATCAGAAAGCTGCAACTTAAGCCCATCAATTAAATCCTTGTATTTAGTCTCAATTTCAGATTTTTCTCTCTGGAAGTCTTCCTGTTGGTTCTCAAGTTTCTTTCTCAAAGATTCTTTATTAATTTCAGACTCATGAAGGCTGTTATTTAAGTCAATTATTATGCTATTCAAACTCTGAACATGCTCTTCGGAATTCAGAGCACAGAGTTCTTTTTTTAACTTGTCAAGTTCATTCTTATATTTTAAAATCATTTCTTCTTCATATACCTGCTTGGCTTCTGCAATTTCTCTTCTGTGGCACTTCTCCAGCTCTGCCCTCAAGTTCTCCAACTGTCTGTGAATATCCTTCTCATGACTGATTTTCAATTCTTCAATGTGTTGTTGTTCTTTCATTTTCGATAAAGCTATTTCATTTTTCAAGCCTGTTATTTCTGAGTCCCGGAGAGAAAGGGTATGTTGTAGCATAGACAAGCTAAATCTTTCTGATGCCAGCAGATCTTGGAGACTTTCAATATCTTGTTCCTTTTCTTCTGTGCTTTTGTGTAGCTGTTGCACTGTATCTTTCATATTCTCTTCCATTTGGGCAAACATATTTTCTTTGGTATTCTGAAAAAAAAATAAATAAATTGCATATTAAATATGCCATTGAAATATGTTTTAATTTCCTTAAGCCTCATGCTTTCAATTTATCTTCCTAAATAATATCTAATGTTAAATGCTGGATGTATCATTGGCCTAGGCAACAGGATTTTTAACCACATCCTTGAGAGCTGAAAGGATTACTGAAAAACTGTGGTAACAAATATCAAATTGCCTAAGCAATAACAAATGATGTGCCACTAAGTCCAAAAAGAGAGAAAATAGTGGCTGTCTCAAACTTCAGCTATTTTAATTAAAATAAAGAATAACAGAGCTACAGATGCCTCTCTACCTCACATCCATTTATAAAGAGAAAACATCTCCTGCAGGCAGGAGTCGGCCAGCATAAGAACCATGTCACATTCTGGCTCATCTGACTCACTTAAAAGCTTAAGGCTTCCACCTATGGCATTGCTGGTTATGTGCTTAAAGGAAATCAGATCTTTTAGGCTGTTCCTTTAACGTACATTTGTAATGACAATCCTCACATAACTGTTTCTAAGAAAAGACTTTCTTTATGACCATGCCGCTAGAGCAGGTCAGAGTTATCACCAGATCTGAAATACATATCATAAAAAATAAGTATCTGTTATGTGTTTTTAACTTTAATAGAGTTTCTTTATTCATATTGCTGGTTTCTAGAATGATTATATCAAAATATTCCAACAATAAGCTTTCTACTTTGTTTTCTATCTGAAACTATCATGATTACAGATACAGTTAACATCATCTCTCATCTCAGTGTTTCAAGCTCACACAACCCTGTATTGTTATACACTTACATAGCAGATCCAGCAACCTTCACCCCACTGCAAGCCTGTCAGCTATGTTCCCACATGCCTCATAGAATCCTAGAGTGGTTTGGGTTGGAAAGGACCTTAAAGCTCATCCAGCTCCAACCCCTGCCAGGGGCAGGGACACCTTCCACTAGAGCAGGTTGCTCCAAGCCCCTGTGTCCAACCTGGCCTTGAACACTGCCAGGGATGGGGCAGCCACAGCTTCTCTGGGCACCCTGAGCCAGAGTCTCAGTTCAACAAACACCAGATGGGCCTGCTTCTGATGGGAATTTCTTCATGTTATACAAAGTTGAGTAACAGAGTTGAAGAGCAACCCTTCTGCAACAGAAATCGATGGAGTAATTTCAACAAATGAGCAAATTTTCAAGAGCCAGAAGTAAATCCTTATTTCATTAAATAACAAAGAAGAAAAAAACTTAAATTGTAAGCAGCTGTTTTGCTTTAGCTGAATATGCTTCCCTTCAGAAGAATAAACTTTTAATTCCATGCAAAAGTGTAGTTTCAGTCCTAAAGCACTAGTGCTACTTCACACTTAAAAGTTCATTACAGGATCTTCCTCCTAAATGTACCACCTTGGCTTGCATGACCACACCAAAACCCTAACTACCTACAATTCCTAATTATAAAGGCACTTTAAACAGTTTTTACCTTTTGAGAAGACTCAAGCTGTACTTCCAGGTCATGAGCTTTCTCACGCAGCAGCTCCAAATGTGCATTTTGCTCTCTGAGACGGTTCTGAAACACGGACATCTGTTGCTGGGCTTCTAATACTTCATTTTTCCCAGGGCTTGTACTCCTCAGCACCTCATTAACCTGAACACATAAAGATACTCACAGTCATAAGGAAGTTTATGACAGAACTCCTACACAAGTCTCACTGTTTGCATAAAATATACGGTATTCATTTACCACAGATTTACCCTCTGTCTTTCCGTCTCAATGAGTAAGAATCTCCCTAAGAAGTCAGACAACACTTACCCTGTTTTAGATACTATTAGTTACTGTAAAGACTTAAGTGGACTAGATGATCTCCAGAGGTCCCTTCCAACCCTAACAATTCTGTTAGATAACTCATCTCTGTGAAACCTCCAAAATGAAGCAGGACTTCCAAAAGACTGGACATACTCACAGGAGGCCAATGAACAAAATCTGTCTTCTCTGCAAAGGATTTACAGCTCAATAACTAAAGGGTTTTCTTTCCACCTCCCTCCAAATGAAAACAGAACATTCACCCCATGTGAGTAAATTAAAACACATTTTATTAATTATTAAAACCTTTTTCTAAAGACTTTGCTAACACCAAGAAGATAACATTTAAGACAGTATTAGTACTTTCATCAGTTATTGAAGTTGACATGCTTCCACAAACAAATATTACTGGCCTTATTTAGAATATGCCCAAAGTGCTATTTAGAGGCTTTATCGTTGTCTTTCAATGGCTTATGGCGCAAATCCCAACAGTCATCTGCAGAGTAATTTTCACTATTTCCACATATTTATCAAGAGTACTAAGAATTGTCCATAGAATGCAGAATTTTTGTTCTTTTCCAAAATTTCATTTAGCAGAGGATTTCTTTTCCAGGGCATGAGCAACTCCTCCAAGGCAAGCCCTGAACTTCAGGAAAATCCAGGTTTTATTTGTAGTTCTTTTTGCTTCCCCTTCTTGTCCAACTATTTCACCTATGTAATCCCTCCTAGCACTGTTGCTATCTTGCAGACCTGATATAGTGAGTAAACAGAACTATTCCTTCAAGGCTCCTGAGACAGCAAATATACAGGTGTGGAGAGAGAATAGCCACTAGAAAACTGAGCATCACCAAAAACAAATAAAGGGGTTTTGTTGGGTCTTTTGTTTGTTTTTCAATTTAAAGTATATGAAAGGCTACAGTATATCTCATTAACCAGGGGTTAAACCCATCCATGTTCAACTTGTGGCACTGAATTATGTTCCTGTGTGTCACAGAGACTGCATCAACCGTCTTCACACTATTTAAATCTCCTTTCTTGAGGCAAGTCACACTACCACGTTACCTTAGATACTGCAGATAATATTCAACACACTCTGAGTTTCTATGGCCTTTAACAGCAAAACAAAAAACAGGTACAAAGACAGAAGCTGCTCCAGTCAGTCCTGTGGTTTCTCGGGAGCAATACAGTTACAATTCTCACAGAGGAGACAGACTCTTGTATTTTATTTTAAATAATTTTTTGTTTTTAATGTATGAAGCAACTAAGGAATGAACCTACTTTTAAAGTAAAAACATCATTCAAATTTCTCTGGACAAGGCCCGTGATTCCACTAAAACCAGCGCTATTAGCAAGCAATTTTGCAGCCAGTACATGTATGTACATGTAAGTACCTGTTTTACACTGTAAAATAGTGAAATAGCATCATTTTATCACATTTGCTAACAATACTCAGTAACTAATTATTTTAGTAACCTATTATCATACTCTTCTTTGACATATACATCAGCATCTTTTCCTAAATACATGTTCTTTCACTCTTACTTCAGCTACATGGTCATTCAGTATATCCTAGTTGGACAAGTCAGCACTTCCCTGATGAGTAAACAAATGGAACAAACACTACATCATTTTAAACAGCTGTTTGAAAGATAAATAAGGAAAACCAGAATTATTTGAGAAACACCCTAAGCACATGAGCCACAAAGGTCCATGTTGTAACACAACATACCAGCGAGAGAAAGACTTCAATGCTAAACTCAGCTTTCCTCCATGGTCAAATGAATGAAATAAATGCAAATCAACTTAAAATTACTATGAATATCTACTGAAAAATTTAAGGCATTGAGATTCAATGTTTTATCTTCTGCTTCTGGGGTTTGCAAATATAGCTGAACACTCTTGCATCAACTAAGAAATATTAGTTTACTAACTGAGAGGAGATTAATGGTGGTAAATGCTCCATCCCTGGCAAGGTTTAAGGCCAGGTTGGACAGAGCCTTGGGCAACATGGTCTAGTATGAGGCATCCCTGCCCATGGCAGGGGGTTGGAACTAGGTGAGCTTAAGGTCCTTTCCAACCCAAACCATTCTATGATTACAAATACTTAACAAACACGTGAAAATCAGTCAGATAATTACAAAAACAGTCCTATTTTCTGAGGCATATACTTAGCTTGATATCTTGAAAGATATTTACTTCTCACTAAATTCACAACAAGACAAAGATGACTGTAGCACTCTTTAAAAACACATAGCCCAGAGCCCTCCCTGTATTTTGAACCTGCAAAAAGTAGTTTCCAAATTATTCCTGTCTCCCTAGAGATGCCCTCTCCACATAACCTAGAAAGCAATCCCATTTGCTGTGCAAAGCAGCTATTTGAACAGAAGCTGTTGAGAAGCAATAAATGATTTTTGTTTTGTTTCTTTAAGTTCACATGAATGTAATAAGGGCATGGCCATGGTCAAGTGCCAAAACACTGTATGCTTTCCTCTTAGTGCAGATAGCTTAGCATGAAACTTAATAAAAGCCTTTGCAATGCTAACAACATGTTCAGGATATCCTGAATGTATGGACACCCTCACAACAGAAAGTGGGATAACACATGCAAATGGCACCCTCTGTTATTGCAGGTTTGCAAACACACTAGTATGATGCTCTGGTTGTATGTTGTGAAGACACACCAACAGCTGGAAAGCTGCCGGTTGTGCAGAAGGCACTGCCTCCCCAAAACTCACCAGTCTTTACATAGACAGCATGCTCAAATGCACTGGGAAACTACTTTTTAAACAAGCTCCCAGATCAAGACAGATAGTTTGTTAATAGCCAAAGAGTAGCCTTATAGTTTCTGAGCTTGTGAAACTATTATTAGCTAATCCCTTCTGAAGCAAGCTGGGTTCCTATAAAAAACCTCAGACCTATTCAAAACTACATTTTGCTTATTTTTATTACAAGACAGAAAGAGAAAGCATGACATGACTGTCTAATCCACAGCTGGTATAAAACTAAAACTGAAACACATCATGCACAAGTGGAGTCCCATTTTAAACAAGTTTGTCAGATAACATAAGGTCTATACTGGCTTTACAATGGCTGGGACAAATTCTATTATTTCAGAAAACATTAAGCACATTTGAGGCAGCAAAGTGAAACAAAACCAAACTAATTGTGTATTTTAAGGTCCTGGCAGTTTTGCTCATCTACTATGCCTCTCAGTCTGGATTTACCATTTCACAGAATCACAGCCACACAACTAGAAGTCTGCCCAAAGAGAATTTCATGGCAGTGAGAGGTGAAAGGCCCTACTTTAGCAGGCTAACAGCAGACAGCTCCTTGACTGTCCAGTTCACATAATGGAGATGTTTCAGTAACTAACATCACTTTGTAACAGAGTTAATTATTACGAGTGAAATACATCAGTTTACTTACTTCTCAGTGACGGGTAGTTGACAGTCCCAGAGAGCTAATACCCAGTTAAGTAAAACAAATCACCTGGAATACTTGTTATCTGCAAACCAAGTGAAGTGAAACACAAGAAATACTAAGATTTACCTCTGTCTCTGTTGCTGTCTGTAGTACGAAGGCATCTTCAGCCTTACTCTCTAGTAGGCTGGCATCTTCAGTATAACTCTGTAGTAGGTTGGCATCTCCAGCCTTAAGCTCTAGTTGGGTGGCATCTCCAGCCGTAAGCTCTAGTAGGTTGGTGTCTCCTGCCTTAAGCTCTAGTTGGTTGGCATCTCCAGCCTTAAGCTCCAGTAGGTTGGCGTCTTCAACATAACTCTCTAGTAGGTTGGTGTGTCCAGCCTTACGCTCTAGTAGACTGGTGTCTTCAGCATAACTCTGTAGTAGACTGATGTCTTCAGACTTACTCTCTAGTAGGTTGCTGTCTCCAGCCTTAAGCTCCAGTAGGTTGGCATCTCCAGCCTTACCCTCTCTACCCTTAGCTGCGCCTTGGGCCGCTAGTGCGTGCTCTTCCTGCGGAAGGTCATGCGGGCGGACAGACGAACCCTTCCTCTTCGCCGTCTTTTTCTGCGACTGCGCGTTGTCGCCTTTTGCTTTTCGTTGTCTGAAGTAAGCAAACTGTGCAGAAAAGATTGGAAGAGGTAGAGGGAGAGGTAAGCGAGGAAAAGGAAGCAGGACCACAAGATTAACACACTCATGGATGACGAAGATCCTATCTTGATAAAATATATACATCTGCAGAAAAACTGCTTTATCTTCCTACTTTCTTAAACATTCAGCACATACTGGATAACTGTGCAATTAAGCAAGAAATCTCACACCAGTACCAAAGACTCAATTCAATAAAAGAATCCAATTTTACTCAGTGAAACTTTGTGTGTCAATGACAACCCCGTATTACAGCAAGACAGGTTAGTAAAGACACAAGTTGTTAATATATTAGAATCATTAGGAAAAAAATCATCATCAAGCAGTCTTTCTGCATGAACAGTAAAAACAGTAACCCCCGTCCAAATGTATCTAAACAGATCTTTGCCAGTGTAAGTTTCAAGATTAAAATTAACGGAAGTGAATCCTCATGCTCCTTCCCTGCCACCCCCTTAAGAGAATCCAGCAAAACTTCCTAGCCAGAAAGCAGCCGACAGGACATAAATAGAAAATCAATTAAGCCAGGTCATTTTAATATCTTCTGTTGAAGAATCAGATGCTCTACTTTATCAGACTATCACAGCTCGACGAAGCACCAGGGACTTGCAAAGAATGTCACTGCCAGAATTTATTACCCAACTTTCCTTAGCACCTTAAGCAGCTTAAAAAGGATTATCAGATTTTCAGCACTAGTATTGTGTTTAGGCAGCATTTCTGATTAACATCTCCCTTACAGCATAAACACAGACATCCTTCTCACGAGGAAAAAGCCTTCTCCAAGGTTACAACTACAGGTTATCAAGTGTTAATATATCCTTGTGATGAGATGAAACAGAGTCAAATGATGACGGGATGCAAACATAATCACTAAGTTCTACCTGCAAGACATAAAAAAAATCCTTTGCTTGACAGCTTGGTTTCCCTTCAAAACAGCCACCTCGCAGGGAAATCTTGTCTGTTTCTTTCCTTCAATTTATGCAGTGGATTTAGTTCAGTCCTTTCTCATTATGTCTGTGCCATCATAGCGACATCTACCTGCCAGCTTAACTACTCAACAAATACACAGTTACATACCTGCTACTCTGAGCAGTCAGTTGAAAAGATACATTTGCAGCAAGTCATCAGTTTCTCACCAGCAGTTCAGATGCTTATGTACAAATAGCTTATTTTTAAGATTCTGTTATTTCCACAGTTATTAATATTGAATGCAGATTAAACACAGATTGTGTTGACTTTCATAATAAGCAAAATGAACAGCAGTAAATAAAACAGCAGTGAGACACAAATACTACTGTCTGAAATCAAGTGTTAACTCGAGCACTTACTGATGGCAGTATCTGTCAAAAATAGCTATTGCACCAATTAACCTGAGAACGTGTGGAAAAGGGACAGCGGGAAACCTGCACAGAAATGGAGAGGAGAGAAAGCCGCTTTCATCAGAAAAGATGAGGAAGGAGCAGCAGAGAGAGGCCATCATAGAGAGCAGTTCATTTAATGAAGGGAGATCAAGTATTTGACATTCAAGCACCAAGACTTGCCATGACTGAACATCTAAATGAGTATGAATTTTTATATGCACCACTAAAACCAAAACTTGGTTTGTCCCACTCATGTGGGTTAAGTATATGAAATCATAATACAGAAGACACATGAGCAGCAGGTCAGGGAGGGGATTCTCCCCCTCTGCTGCACTCTGGGGAGAACCCCCCTGCAGTCCTGATCCAGCGCTGGGGCAACAGCACAAGAGGGATGTGGAGCTGTTGGAGTGAGTCCAGAGGAGGCCACGGAGATGCTGTGAGGGCTGGAGCAGATCTGCTCTGGAGCCAGGCTGAGAGAGCTGGGCTGGAGCAGCCTGGCGAAGAGAAGGCTCCTGAAGGGGAGACCTTAGACCCTTTAGTGCCTAAAGGGGCTACAGGAAACCTGGAGAGGGGTTTCGGACAAGGGCCTGTAGGGACAGGACAAGGGGAATGGCTTGAACCTGACAGAGGGGAGATTGAGATGAGCTCTTAGGCAGAAGCTCTTCCCTGTGAGGGTGCTGAGGCGCTGGCACAGGGTGCCCAGAGAAGCTGTGGCTGCCCCATCCCTGGCAGGTCACAGCGGCTTGGATCAACCTGCTCTAGTGGAAGGTTGCCCTGCCCGTGGCAGGGGGTTGGAGCTGGAGGAGCGTTAAGGTCCCTTCCAACCCAAATCAGGCTGTGGTTCTATGGTACAAAAATATTCAAGTATCCCAAAATTTTATGGAACTACTGGACTTGTTGATCTGTAGAAGTGCGGAGGCAAACATACTCCAGATTATGGAATCACTGGATGGGGAAAAGCTCTGTTCAGGGCAGTATCAGGTTTCCAAAGCCTTTAATCAGCTACATAAATTGAACTGTCATTGTAAGAATATCATCAGGTACACAGACAGTCATCCAACATGAAGTCAAGTGTGTAAATATAAGGAAAGCATCTGACACTGACTCTCCCCCATCCCAGTGAGATGCCACCATTCCCCTTTTGAAGGACTTCATTCTCAGTTTGCTTTCTAGCTGCATGTGCAAAGGCAAGAGCTTCACTTTTAGCCAAGACACAACACGGCAGAGGAACACCAACAGCACTGTCCACTGTAGCACCCAAAGCAGCTCTCTGTAACACCTGGCCTTTCTGCAGGTACCAATGTACTGCAGCTTCATTTTACCAGGCCCAGGCAGTTAAAAGTGGCAGCCACAAGGCACCTCTGATGTGGTACAGCCAGCACCATACCAGCATCCCAGAACAAGCCTGCCAGGTTTTGTGTCGTGAGGTCCCTGTGTCATCCCCATCCCCAGTTAACTGCATGAGCCAGCAGAGAGGGAAACTCCAGCACATACAGCACTGTTCAGCTTTCCCCAGCCTACCTCAAACATAATTTACTCAACTTACTGCTTTACATGCTTCAAAACTTAGGACCAAAAGAATACCCACAGAAAATGAAACACAGCAGAAAACCACATTAGCACCAAATCGAAAAGAGTTGTTCAAATAAACCTGAGCCCGCCTCTTAGCTACAGTAAACATAAGCAGCAAGTGCTCTTAGATGAAAGCCAGGAATGTTTTCTACAGCTTCCTCAAACTGATGAAGTGGGAGAACTTCCTAGAAACACCCCAGGCTTGGGGAAGAGTGGCTGGAAAGCTGCTCATGGGAAAGGACCTGGGGGTGCCGACTGACAGAGCAGAACATGAGCAGCTTGTGCCCAGGCAGCCAAGAAGCATCCTGGCCTGGACCAGGGCAGTGCTCATCCCCCTGTGCTGGGCACTGGTGAGGCTGCACCTCGAATCCCATGTTCGGTTTTGGGCCACCCACTATGAGAAAGACATTGAGGTGCTGGAGCAGGGCCAGAGAAGGGCACTGGAGCTGGTTCAGGGCCTGGAGCACAAGTGTGATGAGGAAGGGCTGAGGGACCTGGGGGGTTTAGTGTGGAGAAGAGAAGGCTCAGGGAGGACCTTATTGCTCTCTGCAACTGCCTGACAGGAGGATGGAGGCAGGAGGGGGCTGGTCTCTGCTCCCAAGGAACAAGGGATGGGACAAGAGGAAACAGCCTCAAGCTGCACCAGGGCAGGTTTAGATGGAGCTGAGGAACAATTCCTTGCCCAGAGGGTGCTCAGGCATTGGAACAGGCTGCCCAGGGCAGGGCTGGAGTCACCATCCTTGCAAGTGCTCACACCCCGAGTAGACGAGGCCCCAGTGCCAGGGGTTAGTGGTGGCCTTGGCAGTGCTGGGAATGGTTGGACTGGATGAGCTTAAAGGTCTTTTCCAACCTGGTTGATTCTATGAAAACATGTAAAATGCAGGAACAACAAAAGCTTCTCAGACACAAGGTATGGCAGACACTGGTCTGGAACGAGAGGCACGGTTGGCCAGCATGCACACTACCAAACTGACGTGGTAAAAAACACAGATAGAAGCACAGCACTGAATCCTGGGGTTTGTTCTGTTCCTCAGTCACTGACTTGGCCATCAGTATTGCATTTATTAAACAGGTTTCATAAATGTTTAATAAGGTACTGACACAATCAGTATTTAGCTGCCAAATCACGACAATTTCCAATTAGTCACAGAATCACAGAATCAACCAGGCTGGAAAAGACCTTTAAGATCATCAAATCCAACATTTACCCCAGGTGATAATTTAAATACATTTCAGTAATGGAGATGTTATTCCTATATGAGAAAGAATAACATGAGCACTGTTTTAAAGAGGAAAACATTCACATTATATTCCTTTCGCAAGTCATTATTTAACAGACTAAAATCTAAGGATGCCAAAGACAAGAAAATACTTGGGGGGGGAACTAGGGGAAGGGCAAAAGCCCTCCCAGCAGTTCGCAACTCCAGATTCAAGCACTATGAGCCAGCAGTTAGCATGACTGCAGAGGTTGCTACAACAGAGGCCCACAGCACAAAACTGGTGTAAGCACCCTTGAAGTAATGCAGGGACACGATTCAGGAATCTGATCTGAATGAACACTGAACACTTGTGTATCAGTGCAGACATAGGATCACCTTAAGCTGCTGTTGGCCTGCCCCATAGGAAGGAAATACTGTATCTACTCGTTGGACATTTCTCCCTTTCAAAACTGCGTTTCTATTTGTAAGGAGGGCAGCAGCAAGAAAACAGGAAAAAAAGACAAGAACTGAAAGGAGAAACATTTCCCTACTGCTCTGTTATAAAGAGCCTTCAAAAACATGAGCTCTCCAAAGGAAGTTTTTGAAGGAAGTTAAAGTCCTGCAGCCCACTTACTCAGCAGCATGACCACATCCTACTATGGGCTTAAGAATAATAGAACCATGGAATGGTTTGTGTTGGAAGGGACCTCAAAGCTCATCCAGTTCCAACCCCCTGCCACAGGCAGGGACACCTTCCACTAGAGCAGGTTGCTCCAAGCCCCTGTGTCCAACCTGGCCTTGAACACTGCCAGGGATGGGGCAGCCACAGCTTCCCTGGGCA